ATCAACTTCAATTTCAACCAATGCTGCTGTCAATGTTAATGGGAAAAGAGGTTTGCCCTTCCAATCATCACATTAACATGGATTTTCATGAATCCTCTGGTTCTGATTTGACTTGATTTTTCATTGTGCCAGTGAATGAGGACGAGGAATTGGGCCCTGATGGAAAGAAGATACGTCCTGGAATAACAGCCACTGTGATCTCTGAGCTCACAGATTGTAATGCTGCTCTTTCACAACAAAGGAAAAGGCGGCAGGTATTTTGGTGATGATAAAAATTTATTTAAAGATTATTGTTTCTTATTATACAAAAGGGGAATTTGCTGAATGGATGATGTGAATGTTTTAAATATTTAACTTTCCTTATAAGGTGCTTGAATTCGTTGATTGGTTTTTTGTTCTCTTTTTGGTTCCTTAGATACCCCCTACATTGGTTCCTGTTGAGGCTCTAGAAAGTTACACTCAAATATCTAGTCATCCACTTCATAAAACAAGCAAACCGGGCATTATATCTCTTGACATCCATCACGAGAAGGTATGATTCTCCAGTGCATCAGGCTGTATTACTCAAAAGAGATTTGCTTATATATAAATATTATGTGGCCTTCATCAATACAATTCTTTGAAGTTGTGCTTGTGATTAACCATTTTATCCAATGGATTTTTTGGACGAAGAATGTGGCATACAAGTATTAAACGTTTCTCCTTTAGTACCCTAGAACTTTTAAGCCATAAAATAAAAATAGTTCAAATCTTCAGAAGGATTCTTCTTTTTTTTTKGGGGGTGAAAAGTGAAACTCATTGATTTTGAGTGGACATTAGTTGGTATAACTTCAACCAGGCAATCATTACTAGTCAATTAGTCAGGATAAGTTTTCTAGTAAATAATGAGGTTTTAAGCTTGGGGATCATGTCCATATATGCCTTGGGAATAAACAGAAGAGGTTCCATGAAATATATGGTGAATTCATTTTCATTACTTCATGTTTTTATTCTAACGTTGTAAAGAACTAAAACCACRAACACTTGGAAGCTAATTTATAGAACTCTACTTAATAGTTAATACTAGAGTCTTGTCTAAAACATCTTTTATAATGCATTATTTATCTTGGTATGATATTGACTATATTCTACATGATGGTAAGTTGAAAGCTGACTTTCCCTTTTAATTTCTTGAGCATTCTTGTTTGTTGAAGAATATTWGCTGTTGCTAATGATAATGCCCAAATTTGCTCCTCAGACAAGGAATTTTCTTTTGATGGTTTTAGGATGTCATTGCRACTGGAGGGCTGGACACAAATGCTGTTCTTTTTGATCGATCATCTGGAGAGATATTATCTACTCTTAGTGGCCATTCAAAGAAGGTTTCTTTGCTGGATTGTAGCGTTCAAGTGCTGGAGCTGTGTATTATTAGTATTATTTGCTAATGGGAATATTGAACATTGTCTGTTTAGGTAACAAGCGTGAAATTTGTGGCTCGTGATGATTTATTCTTGACTGGTTCAGCTGACAAGGTAGGTTTTTCTCATTATGGTTATGAGATGAAGAGATCTGCTTTCTGCACATGTATGTTTAAAACTTTTGAAACTTCCAATTAACCTGTGAAGATCATATTTTCATCTTTGGCTGAGCATAGTCAATGCCAAACCATTATTTTGAAATAAAAATGAACAGCTTTCATCGTTTAATTCCTGGTACCTAAGTTGTAAGTGCTAAGTTTAATAATTTTAGCATGTAAATGAACTGCTTCTGCTTTGGCCCTTAAATTCTTGGTTCTATGGGTTTAATGCTTGTTTTCCATTTACTTCGGCTGTCACGAACATAGTTATTTCCACTGAACCAGGAATTGATCATGCCATTTGGATTGTTTTTATTTTTCCAATATGAACTCCAGCTATTTTCCTTCACTGCATTTAGTAGTAGTAATAACACCTTTTCCTAAATGCACAGACTGTTCGTGTGTGGCAACAATCTGATGATGGGAACTATAATTGTAGGCACATTTTAAAGGATCACACTGCTGAGGTAAGTTGTTTTTTCTTTTTAAATTCAATGGCCATCACTAATTATCGTAGCTGGTTATAGGTGGAAGCATGGTTAAAAAACTCAGCCAAGTTCTATGTGATACTTGCACTGTCTCAATTGCTAAGTCTGATAGCAGTCAATAATACTAATACCAAAGAATCATGAAATAGGAGCAAATCAGTTCTGAATGACTTAAATTCATACCTTAATGTACTGTAAAGGATTGTCAACTTAAATTTACAGGTTCAAGCTGTTACCGTCCATGCTACCAATAACTTCTTTGTCACTGCCTCCCTTGATAACACATGGTGCTTTTATGAGCTTGCTTCAGGATTATGCCTAACCCAGGTCAGTACCTTGATTTTGCATTACCGAATATATTTTACTTACTCTAAGATACTGTCTTAAGTGCATTGTGGATAACTTCTAGTTGATTACATATTGATGTGCCACAGCATAATGCATCCAGGTGCTAGACCTTTTTTGTTTTGTTTTCCAAAGAATGATAACAAGCTACTGATTTATATTCAAATATATGATGCAAAATCTGACAATTGGTTATGATAGGTAAAGGTTTTGAATCCAATTTAGTAGTCACACTTTCAAATTTTGGGATTTGATAACACATGGACAAAATTCTTCAACATTGAAAGTGCTCTGGTCATAGAGTGACTAACGATCTATAAATAGTGCTTCAAGCTTTTACCCATACAAGGGCACCGAGAGCCAAAATACATTTTTCTTAGATCTAATTCTCCTCATTCAATTCTCTTTAAACTAAGATTGTTGGAAGCAAAATATTGTCAAAGAATTGATTGTACTATTGAGGGAGACTGCACTACAACCCAACATATTATTGAGAATGCGTTTGTGCTCGCCGTAGGCATAATAATGAGCCTAGTTACTTCTAGGATGATCACAAGGTTCTTTACTGAGACTGAGATACAGTTTTATTTTGTAGTCGTTCATGATGATAGGAAATCTTCGTGTGGTTATTTTAGAAAAAGGTCACCCATTGAGGCTTCTATGACCTATTTGGTTGGTTGGAAAAAATTGGGTATAGTTGAGTTGCGAGGTCTGAAAAGAGCAGCATGTTAATGCTACTATCAATATTTTAGATATACCTTGTAGAGGATTATTGTCAGCAAATATGAGCTGCATACTTTCAAGGTCCGGGATTTGATTTTGTWTTGTTTTTTTTTTTTGGTATTTTGGTTCAAGAGGAATAATAGAATTTTTAGCCTTTTAGGGAGTTGAGAGGTCTTGGAAGTTTGAGGATCATTAGATTCAAAATCTCCCTATGGGTGTCCGTTACAAAATCTCTTTTTGTAATTTTACGAAGGCTTTTGGATTGAGTTTCTTTTTGTAGGGTTGGCCCCTTTGGTTGGGCTAATTTTTTTTATGTCCTTGTATATTCTTTCCTTCTATCTCAATGAAAGTTCGGTTTCTTATCCAATTTTTTTTAGATATACCATACATGAGGCATGTTGTCTACCCCTGCTTAAATTCAAGAAATCTTAATCATCTTATCCTTTGCAGGTTTCGGAGGCTTCAGGAACTGAGGGCTACACTTCTGCTGCCTTTCATCCTGATGGTCTCATCCTTGGAACAGGCACGTCGGAGGCACTTGTTAAAATTTGGGATGTAAAAAGTCAGGTATGATATCTTAATCTGCCGTTTGCATGATATATCCCCATATCTCTAAGTTTGTATGCTCATTTCTCTTTAATGTTTCTGCTTGCAGAAAAATGTGGCAAGATTTGATGGACACGTTGGGGCAGTAACTGCTATATCTTTTTCTGAAAATGGTTACTTCCTTGCGGTATGTGTCCAATTGGTTACAATTGAAGGTGTAATGATTTATCTCAGACATGATTGCAACTATAAAAATCTAAACTGCAGACTGCAGCTCATGATGGAGTAAAGCTGTGGGACCTTCGAAAATTGAAGAATTTCCGTACATTTGCACCTTATGATTCAGAAACACCAACAAACTCTGGTATGTTTACTTTTGTAGATGCTCAATGATGGTAGATTCTACTTTTGTTGTATCTGAACATGGATTTTTGGTTCTGTAGTGGAATTTGACCATAGTGGATCTTACCTTGCGATGGCCGGCTCAGATATAAGGTAAGTGTTTGACCATTGAACTTCTAACTCCTCTCCCCYATTCATTAATGGTAATTGGTATTCAATTTATGTCACTTATTTTTAGTTATTCAGTAATTTCTATGGGTTAATGTCGAGTCTTTGAACTCGCAGAGTGTACCAAGTTGCAAGTGTGAAATCTGAATGGAATTGTATCAAAACTATTCCAGATTTATCTGGCACAGGTACCATACCCCTCTCACGTATGCACATGTTTTTGTGGAGTATTTATTACATTATTGTAAATAAGAGGGAAGAGATTTGAATTAACAACACAGAGATATGGACGTTGATGAAAATTCTGGTTCACTTCATCTCAGGTAAAGCAACTTGTTTAAAATTTGGTCCGGATGCAAAATACTTGGCAGTCGGGTCCATGGACCGAAATCTTCGGATGTTCGGAGTGCCCGGGGAGGATGGCCCAATGGAAACATAAGTTACATTCAGATTTACGGCAAAGTTGCAAGTATACACCCAGAGATCAAGTTGAGCAAAATATTTCCCCCAATTTTTTCTGTTGTAGTTGGACTAATCAGGTTGATTCTCATTTCTATGAATGTAAGATTTTGCACAAGTGTCTGCAGTTGAGTAAAAATATTTATGTAACTGTCACCTTCATGTAGCCATAGAACTGTTAATATACGCTTACATTTGATTGACATTTGATTTTGGTAGTCGAAAAACTTTATTAGATTCGTGTTTCCTGTTGGACACATTATTCTATTTTTTTCTACACAGCGAAATTATGAAGAAAACGACCATGTTTGTATTATATATCCAAATTATTTTTATTGTCAATGGTGATAATATGATTAAATAACTTAACTTCAGACAATGGAACTTCGCTGCTACTGTATTTTAAATTGTTTACTTCCCATTTTGCAAATATATTTATTTATAATAATGAAACATRTATCGTTTGGGGGAACACTAAAAAATATGATTATACAAAGATAGATACTAAAGACATTTGAAATTGTGAAACTAAAGTTGTTAATATAAAATGTACCCAATAATTTAAAACAGCACAATTTGCAAGCCGTTCCATGTTTGTCATGTAAGATATTGTGAAGCATGAGCAAAACCCCACAGCTGCAGTCACCCAAATTACACAAACATTAGCAAAAGAGGAAGAGCAGTGTAGTTATTGTTTGATCTTAGTTTGACTTTAACATGCGAGGGTGAAGATTKAAATCTCTAGTTTTTTTGTCGAGAATATATGCCGAACTTGATTTATTCTCTCTTATGTAAACATTAGAAATGAGTGAACTTGATTTATTCTCTCTTATGTAAACATTAGAAATGACTAACTAAAATTATTCAACTACAGATACTAGATAGGTTGGGATTTACCTCAACATTCTTCAACTCGAACTCCTGTTTATGTGCCAGGCACAAGTTACCAAATGTTTCACATGGTCCACTGGTTCCATTCAACCTTTTTTTAGATGCATAAGATTTAGTCGTCGATAAAAGTAATACATAGCAGTTTATTGTCGATAAGATGGTAAAAGAAATACTAACAGATCTCCGTCGAGGCGTAAAGCAAAGTTGCCACCACCACCAAGTGCTAGTAAATCATCCATACACATGTAGTAATAGCGGTTCGCTCCTATCCATATTTCGAAATCAGGCAAAGAAAAATAGTTAGATAAATTGTAGAATACTAAATATTCAAATTCATTAATGAAAGGAGCTTATTCACTTCGACACTCTTGTCTATCAATGCAAGAGATTATTTTGTTTCCCAGATCAGTTAAAGGRCTGATCTTGTTGTTCTTACATCCAAATATACAACTTCTGTGGGCAATGGGCATACATATTATAATTCACATCACTTTCATTAGAAGGATGCATAAGTACAATATCAGTGGKSGYGCTATAWCCACATATTTCTCACTATCACAGTATCACCATCTCTTCATTCTTGCATGACCACAGATATCYATGTTTAAAATAATACAAATATATCTATATCAAACTGTGACAGTGAAACATATTGGTGACATAAGGATACACATTCAATGAGTAAAAAAGTAAAGAACTTACCTGTAGGCCTGAAGAGCTGTGGTTCACCATACATGGTGGTAAAGACAAAAGTTTGATTTGTTCCCTAGCACCAAAAAAGTAAGCAATGCAATCATGATTTAAACACCAAAACAAAAGATAATTTGGAGCGAGAGTGGAAATTAGCTTCCTCAGAGGAAAAGCAAACTAACTTGATATTTTCTCTTTGCAGTAGGCTTCAGTGGACATTCTAGAAGACCACCAAATACAGCACCTTGCCTATCACCTACAACCTAGATCGTACAGAAAACGACTCTATTATCAAAAAAATAAGAAATTCTGCATTGGTTATAGCTTTTTAATGACATTGAAATCTCATTGGACATGGAGGAGTTACAGATATCAACATACCAGTAAACAAGGACCAGAAAGTTCATTGCTTTTGCGGATGAGAGTTCGAAGAGATATGCCATGTCTCAATGTACTGCCCTTCATTTGAAAGAAACTCATGTTAAGGTCATGATGCATGAAACTACTTTCCTCATTAGTCAACAATCAATAACATTTTCAATAAAATCACCTATATAGCAAGACCCATTGACACCCTTTCACGATATTAGGAAGACATTGTAGCAGGAAATCATATATATCAAAAGATATCAAAACAGAATCAACCGTGAGATTCATCACAGACTTCAGTGGACCTGGCTGGAAAGTTGCTTCTTCAAAGACTTCAGAACTACTAGTACTCCTTCCAGAGAAAGAGTCATCAAAATCTTCTTCGTTATCTAGGATTTCCTTGTTCCCACATTCTAAACTGCATTCTTTATTTTCACTGTACCCTTCAAAGTTGTCCAAGGGTTCAAGAGAATCAAAATTGACAATATCATATTCCACAGGGCGAGGCTGACGTGGCTTGTAATTGCTCTCATTTTTGCCTGATTTGGATCCTTCCAAGCCTGTGGATGGGATGATAAAGGAAAAGTAGGAAGAGAGAGCTTTCCCTTCTTTGGAGTATGACTTGACCTATTATACATCACAACAAACGGCATAATAAACCCAACTTAGAATACAATGCAATTGCATAGCACAAGAAAAAAGATGAGCAGAAGAGATATGAAGAAAGAACGAAAAGAAGAAATCAATTGCATGAAAATAGCATAACTGAGCCATTGAAGTTCCAGGGAGAGGAAAATCAAATGCCCATTGATGGACATTGTGATAAGGATAACTAAGTTATGTATCGACGAATTACTAATTAATAAACATATGACAAAAACTGAGTTATCGTTTATAGGTTTTGATAAACAGTAGAACACACATACAAATCGAGCAGGGTAAAATCGGATGCTAAAACATTCCCATTACTCCCGAGATCCTCCGATCCTTCACATGGCAATTTCAATCAAAACCGATGCAGGAACAAAACAGAAAAATAAAAACAAAATTGCGTAAAAGACAATGAGACCCAGATCTCAAAAACTCATCCACATTGAGGTATCAGATCAACAATGGCGGCAAAATCATAAAGCTAAAAGAAAAAACAAAAATCAGCGAAATATATAAAAAACAAAGCAAAGGAAAGCATAATATTACGGAAGAAGGGTCGTGAAGAGGGGTTAAGGAATGAGAAGCGGAATTCGGGGAATCGGCAAAAAGACGGGAAAGACTCTCCGTAAATTTCTCTTTCAACGCGAACATGGGTGACAGTGATGAATGAAGAGAGAGATTTGTGTTCCGTCGCGAGCTCTGCTACCTTTTGATTCAAATTTCGAATCCGCTTTTGAGAGAAGAGATAAGAAGAGGAGGAGCCGAGCTGTCGGCGGAGAGAAATCGCCGGAGATATGGGAGAGAACGGCGACAAAGTGAACCATCTACGGCAGTAAATAATAATAAAAAGAAAAAAAAACAATAAATAAAAATAAAGCGAGAAAGTGATATTGGTCCTACAAGGCTACCTACAACTCATATGCTATTTTCAATAATAACTAATAAATAGCTGTTTTTTTAAAGTGAAATATCCTTTTGAAATTGATTAATTTGACGTTTATTTAATCTTTCAAGTTTTAAAATAGACACATGTTTGAGGTTTGATAAGTAAAATGATGTGACATTTTTAATGTGACAAATTTTAGATGAAATTTGTTTTTTCAACAAATTAATTTTAGGCAGTTTTTCTTTTTTCTTCTTAAAAAATCATAACACGCGCAAGAACAAAAGAAAATTCACATCAGATTGAAAAAACACTCTTCATTTGAAAATGACAGGTTAAACCTATGGAGATATTTGAAAGTGAATGTTTGACCCGCTTAAGTTTTAGTTGAGTTTGGATTGAGATGTCGAATTCACGCTTGTCCTATAGATTTGTCAAGTTTGGATTTGCCCAATRGATTCATGTGTCTTGATAGTCCTCCGACCTCTTATTCTGTCGGCCCAAACTCATTCCCTTGCATAATTTTTACAATTTAGGAATTTTTAAATGTATACTCCAACAAATACAAGTTTTCTCGATCAAAATTTTCTAAACTCTCCACGAACTTCTAAACTCAACATTCCAAAACATGTGACAGTGAAACTCACACCCAATAACTTAAACGTAATTCAATCGGTCAAAATATTAACGACTCCGTATTTGTTGGAGGACCATCAAGAYTTATATTATTGGATTAGTATTAGATAATGAGATCACTGACACGGAAGAAAACAATTAGTTATATAGTTTTTTATTATTAGGAAGTTTTTTGCTTTTAAGATTTGATTAATTTAGATAAAATATGGGATCATTGATTGATTGATTAATTCAACTTTTCTTAATGGAGGATTTTAAAAATAATCTTATATTCAAATTTGAAGTTGTATTGTAAGCATCACTGCCCACGGATTCTCAAATGAATTTATAAATTTCAAAATTAAAACTAAAAAGTCAATTATAAGACCCACATGCAACCCAAAGGAAAATACTTTATTTCAAGATAAATGCTTGCAATTCAATTTTTATTTTTTATGAAACGGCTGACTTCAAATTGTTTTATTGTACAATAATCTCTATCACAGGGAATCTTTCTAAAAAAGACACTTTAAAAAATAATAATAATGAAAAGATACTATTACTTTAATTTTAATTTATGATTAACTAACATTTTTTTAAGAGAATTAATTGTGTTTTTGCTTCTACAATTTTAATGAGAAAAATATTAAAGAACATATTTTTCAATAAGGAAAAACSCTTGGCACTTACACCCAACAAATTTGAGCAAAAAGATTGGCTTATTTTTTCTTCTCCATGCTTAATTCTTGATTAGTCAASAGTTAAAAAYCAGCCCACATGAGTTGACCAAGATTTTTCCCGCTTAAATAAGTATTTAGATTTGAATATTTGATCTAAATAACATTATAAATATAAAATAAGAACATRCCTAAAACATGTAGAAATAGGGATGACATCTAGATAGGATCAAATTGGAATGTAAAAATCTAAAATGTAAAATAAAAAAAAAACATACCTTTTAAACAAAGAGAAAATTAGTTTTCTAAACTACTTATATATCTTAACAATGACTTTCATATTTAATAAAATTTTTAATTAACGTTATAAAATAAAAATGAAATAATTCGAAACTAGGGACAGATAGGTCGGGGCAGAAAAAACATTCCCCGTCCCCATCTAAAAAACTAATTTGAAAAAATTGATGTAAAAGAAAAAAAGTTGTCACGGTTTAATTCTAATAATTCCACATCATGCAAAATAATATGTATTCATCCAAAAAAAGAAAGAAAAAAAAAGCTCCATAGATTTTTATCTGTTCAGCATTTTGTAATTATTGCAAAAACTTTCTTACTTCAAGGAAGCTTTAATGATTCATGAGTGAAGCATGATGCTTGTTCAAGGTTAAATTATTTTGCAGAGAAAAAAAAGCTCCAAAATTAAAGAGCTTCACCTATTTCTTTGTCCTCATTCCACTTAATATGCTTCTAAGTAACCTTTAAATAAATCTGATTCAAAATGATGTAGCCGTTCAGTCAAACTGTAGCTTCTAATACTTCATCAATCAGATTCCTTTCTGTGTTGTTCATACTTCATAGTCTTCTGCAGGCCTATCTCCTCTAAGCATTCAATGCCATAAAATTGTTCTGAAGGGGAAAAGAAAATGAATTTCCAAAACCCATTTCACTGTTTCAATAGAAATATCTACATTTACATTTTCATTTTCATTTTATTTTTATTTTGTTATCTCCTTGTCAAATGTGAATTGTATTGTACTCTTTTGTGGAGTGAAGAAAAAGATGCCTTCTGCACATCTAAAGAGACAGGAAGGCAGGAAGGCAGGCCAGAAGAGGAAAGCGAATGGCTTAGCACCAGAAAACCAAAACCCTCTTCCACCTTTTGAGTGAAGAATCGAAATTTGCACACTCTTCCCCCACTTTTGAGTGAAACACCCACTTCCCCATTTCCCCACTTCCCCCAAATTTTGCACCTCCATGCTTTGATTCTTCAATGGGGATGAAAATGAAAATGGGGTTTTCTTCTTTCGGTTCCTCTTCTCTTCTTCTTCTTCTCTCTCTGGCTTTCTTCATTTTTTCACTGATTCCACCTGCTCAATCTGGTTCTGATTACGCCTCCTTGGTTTACAAGGGCTGCGCCAAGCAAGCTCTCTCAGATCCAACTGGGGTTTACTCTCAATCCCTTTCAGTTCTTTTTGGTTCGTTGGTTTCACAGGCCACCAAGGCCAGATTCTACAAAACCAGCTCTGGAAGTGGCCAAGCCACCATTAACGGCCTCTTCCAATGCAGGGGAGACCTCAGCAATGGCGACTGCTACAATTGTGTGAGCAAAATCCCTCAAATGGTCCAGTCTCTCTGCGGCAGAACCATAGCCGCGAGAGTTCAACTCTACGGCTGCTATTTACTCTATGAGGTATCTGGGTTTGCTCAAATTTCAGGGTTCGAAATGCTGTACAAAACTTGTGGGGGGACGAATGTCGCCGGAAGTGGGTTTGAAGAGCGGCGGGACACGGCGCTCTCTGTCTTGGAGAACGGCGTCGTGAGCGGCCATGGATTCTACACAACAAATTACCAATCGGTTTATGTGTTGGGACAGTGTGAAGGGGATTTGGGGGATTCAGATTGTGGAGAGTGTGTGAAAAATGCAGTGCAGAGAGCTCAGGTGGAATGTGGGAGCTCCATTTCAGGCCAGCTCTACCTCCATAGATGCTTTATCAGTTACAGTTACTACCCAAATGGGGTGCCAAGAAGATCTTCTTCACCTTCATTTTCCTCCTCATCAGGTAAAACTTGGGGAAAAGTTTTGTTACAGATTACACCAATGCCTTGTGGATTCCATTTTTACTGTAGGAAACAAAGGATTTTATCTGACCTCGGAAATGAAACAGGGGGAAACACAGGGAAGACAGTTGCTATAATTCTAGGATCAACAGCAGGAGTGGGATTTGTGGTCATTTGCTTGCTTTTTGCAAGAGGGTTGATGAAAAAGCATGATGGTAAGTAGAGAAACAAGCATATGAGATTTCAACCTTCTCTCTCTCTATCTAAATTTCTGAGTATTGAGAACTGGGATAATCTTTTTATGTGCAGATTATTGAAAGAAGAAGAAGTGAGGATATGATCTCCAAAGATGCAAAAACCATTCTTTTTTCTTATGAACAGAATGTCCCCTTTTATCTGAAAAGGAGATGTGATTTTTTTGGTGGTGAATAGAGTTTTTGTTTGAATTGAGAAGGGAATGAATGATGTATCAAACTGAAATAATTTTTGCATAAGTGAAGAAGAAGAATGTTGGGAATGAAAAGTGGGAGTACTCCCATTCTCTCTTTTAAACTTATTTGCTTCTTTCCATATCTATCATGAGGATTTCTTCTCTCTTTTTCCCTTTAATCTAGGCCATTGTTCTCTGTTTTCTCATCACTTTTTATACTTTTCACAAAGTTGCTCTCATCCCAAGATGTTGTTTTGAATAATCTTTTAGTTGGAGTTGACAATGACACTAATGAATTGTATAATCTATAACAGTTTACATCCACTTGCCTTTTGAAACTAGTGAACAAACAGTATACATCAGTTTTCACTGTGGCTTCTGCCCTCACAGTTCCAAATTCCTCTGGTTTATAGAAAAAGAAAAATGGTTTATTTGGGGTCTGATTTTGGAATAAGTTTATATTGATTTTTTTAATAAAGTTCAGTAAAAATGTTTTAAAAATGGGAGAGTTGTATGGTTGGTCAAACAATGGTCAAATGAGGAGGCTATGTAATATAAAGGAGTTTTGGAAAAGGGAAAGAAAAAAAGGGAATTTAAAACTATTGTTGGAGAAATGAAATCAGAAATGAGAATTGAGAAACATATCATGTGGTGAATGAGGGATGACAGATATTAAATTGGGGATCTCCGTTTTGTTTGCTTTGTTTAGGTCTTCACTCCACTTAGGCTTCATCATTCCTTCATCAATGCCCCAACCTATAATTGCATGACAGCAATGCACTAACCCTATCATACATATATAAATCTTATTTAATTATTTTCCTTTTTTGTCCACACCGCGCCTATTATGGTTAGTATCATTTTTTCCTTTATAGCTATAATCGGGGTGTCAACGGTCATCCAACACTATAACCGAAGTTGCGAGATTTGTCTCCATATGGGGGGAAACCCCGATTATGCGGGCTTGAATCGAGGAGCAGGTATCCCCATTCGACTACAAGCCCACTATGCCACAATCAGCCAGTGGTGTGGTTAGTACCATTCATATCAAAGGGATTGGATATACAACTATGTGATCCTACGGGAGTTTGAGCTCAGGTTTGGATTTTGGAAGGATTTAACTTAAGATGTCAGACATGTGCGTTATGCATTGATTTGTCAAACCTATGACTTATCCAACAATACCTAAATCTATGCTCCAAAAGCTCCTATATATATATTATTATTATTAGCAAAACTCATACGATTTTAATAACTTAAAAGTAGTGATCACGACCACTAAATCAACTCATAGTAATAAGAAAATAGATCAAGTTGCTCTATCTCAGAAAGTTGGAGGATGAATCTCCAATGATTCTCAAACAAAGATCTTGGTTTGGTTTCCCTCCCAAATTTATTATATCTTGAAGCATCAAATAAGTTTAATGTAAAAATAAATTACTTAAATTTTTATCAAATGCAATACGAACATTTATGAATTAAAATAAAACATTACAAAGTATAAAAATGAAAATATGACATTTAAAATTATTTTTAAAAAAAGAGAGAGCTCGGAAAGCACAAACCTTGCCGTCGCCGGAGACTCATCATCTCTGATCGTCTCCCTCAATCCTTCTTCTTCTCCGCCATTCGCCGGCCGGTACCTCTGGTTCAACCGCCGTCCTCAGTTTCCATCCGCCACACTCTCCACACCTATTTTACTCCTCCGACCAATCATCAATGTTTAGGTTAACATTAAAATAAGAGCAATGTTCAGAGTTGCGATGCATGATTTGACGTTTCTACCCCTGCTAATACATAACCGAGTTCGAGCCATGCGGCGATCCGAAGGTAAATAGCGAACAAGAACATGAATGACTTCTTCGATCCGGACCCGACACCAGCACCACCGCCAGCGCCACCTCTTGCGGCGGCGGGGAAGTCCGATCCTCGCATTGTCCATGCCCAAGCAATCAAATCCCCGGCCACTCATCGCTCTGTTTACAACAATCTCATTACTCTCTACTCCAAATCAAGCTTCCTCCACTACTCTGTTCGTCTCTTCCACCAAATCCCATTTCCCAACGTCGTCTCATGGACTGCTCTCATCTCCGCACATTCCAACACTTCTCTTTCCCTTCGTCATTTTATTTATATGCTCCGATATCCAGCATTCCCCAACCAACGCACATTAGCTTCCCTTTTCAAGACCTGCGCTTCTCTCCCCAGTGTCCCTTTTGGGTTTGCCCTCCATTCCCTCGCTTACAAACTCTCGCTCTGCAGTGAACCCTTCTCTGGCTCTGCGCTTGTCAACTTCTACTCCAAATGCCAATTATTTGGCGACGCTCGCAAGGTGTTCGATGAAATTTCTGACAGAGACGAGGTTTGCTATTCCGCTCTCGTCGTTGGTCTGGCGCAGAACGCGCAGTCTATTGATGCGTTGTCGATGTTCAGGGAGATGAAAGTCTGTGATGTTGCGTCGACAATGTACAGTGTCTCCGGTGCTCTTCGTGCTGCGGCTGATCTTGCTGCGCTGGAACAATGCAGGGTTTTACATGGGCACGCCGTGGTTACTGGGTTGGATACCGATGTGATTGTCCAAACTGCTCTGATTGATGGGTATGGGAAATCGGGGCTGATTCTGGATGCACGAGAGGTGTTTGATGAAAGTTTGGCATCTATGAATGTCGTGGGGTGGAATGCGATGTTGGCAAGTTATGCGCAGCAGGGAGATAAGAACTCTGCGCTTGAGCTCTTCAATTCAATGGCAGCTCGCGGGCTGTCTCCAGATGAGTACAGCTTCTTAGCCATTTTGACATCATATTGCAATTCACGTTCAGTTGGCGACATCCAACTGTGGTTGAGAAGGATGAGAGTAGGGTATGGAGTGGAACCTACTCTTGAGCATTTTACTTGTCTGATAGATGCAATGGGAAGAGTTGGGAAGTTAAAAGAAGCAGAGAGGGTAGCTATGACAATGCCTTTCATGCCGGACGCTGCAGTTTGGCGTGCATTGCTATCGAGCTCTGCAAGCCATGGTGCAGGCAATATGGCATGGGCCATGGCAAAACGGTTGCTGGAGCTTAACCCGCATGACGACTCCGCTTACGTGATAGTTGCTAATGCTCTATCTGCTACAGCAAGATGGGAGGAAGTGGCAGTAGTGAGGAAGCTGATGAAAGAGAGGCAGGTGAAGAAGAAAAGTGGGAGGAGTTGGATTGAAGTGAGAGGGAAAGTTCATGTGTTCTTAGCAGGGGACAGAAACCATGAAAGGGCTGAGGAAGTATATGCAAAGCTAAGAGAGTTGATTAGGGAGATAGAGAAACTTGGGTATGTCCCAATTTGGGATGAGATGCTTCATGAAGTAGGGGAAAAGGAAAAGAAGGAAGCACTTTGGTACCACAGTGAGAAGTTGGCGTTGGCGTTCGGGGTGGTGGCCGGAGTGGCACCACCTGGAAAAGCTCTGCGAATTGTAAAGAATCTAAGAATATGCAAAGATTGTCACCAAGTTTTTAAATATGCAAGCAGGGTGCTGGAGAGAGAGATCATCGTTAGAGATGTAAATAGATACCATAGATTTTTACACGGTAGCTGCACCTGTGAAGACATCTGGTAAAGTTGTAGCCAAACAAATCGCCAAATATGTTGTGAAAATTATTATGATCTCAGATCAATGTTGAAAAGCAGGTTTTACATAAAGACAATTGCGCAATATTTCTTCTATTTCAATTCTTTATAACATTTTTTCGGATTTAAAATCATTTCTTCAACTTTCTTGGGGATGGAAGAGATGAAGTGATGGAAAAACTTTTCAATTTCTGCTAAAGCTGAGAAGCATTGAACAGTTAATTAATAAGTACAAAACCTCTCTTTATATACTCCAAGCATGAAAATGGCAACTTCATAAGACGCTCTACTTCAAGGGATTTGGATATCAGCATGTTCATTAACAAATCCCCGTTAAGATACTCACAGTTCATTGGGAAACCTTTGCACACAACTAAAGATGTGTTGCAAACCCAGGGAACCGCCACTGTGAATCCCAAACCAGAAATTTTCTCGGAAGAACTGCCATCTCTCGCCAAAACATCCTTGTATGCTCGGCCGATTTGGGATACGTACTTTCCCATTGGCAATATATGTTCAAGAACAGATGGGACAGAGCCATCGGGATTCAACAGATCGGAATCGGAGTGAAGATTCACCACCACAGTGCCATGTTTAGGATGAAGCCGCTTGCTGAGAGCTTCGAGGAATGTGTAATTTGGATCCCAGAGTTTTCGAGGGAATATGTCGTCTCCGTCGTAAGCGTCAATGAAGACCATGTCGTATAGATTGGTTGTGTTGCAGATGAGGTCCTCTGCATCTAATTCATAGAGGAAGAGTCTTTCATGGACACCTTTCCACATGACATCATCGATGAATCCAGGTTTGCTAGATGCACGCTCACCTGATGCGGTCATAACCGAGAAAGCTGGGAAGCCCATAGCTTGGACTGAGGCTGAGATAACAAGAGGGTCGATTTCAACTATGTGGACAGTGGCACCTGAAAAAACACAAGTATCTGATTAACTTCGCAGTTAATCCTTTAATTTTAAACATACCAATTCTATGAACAGAACAATTTGAAGCAGTTAAGACTTGCAGCGAGCATATGCAGTGAAATGATATTTCGTCATTGTCATCGGTTGTAACTTTACATAGGTTGACAAGGATTAAACTCAGCCAAATATACAACTAGAACCAGGCAGGAGTTTGAAATCACCCTATTTTCTGAGATCTACAGAATGAGCTTAATATATGCTGGGCTTCTGGATTAGATGTGAAACAATTTACTTGATAATCAGCCTCACCATCTTGCTACTCTTAAATGAAAATGCGACATTAAGCTGATGATACTAACAAAATACGTTATAATTTATAACAATTATACGTTTTATTTGGTTGAATTATTATTGTAATGATCATTGACTAATCATACACCATAATTCATAGATGCAGAAGAAAAAGAACTCTAACCTTGAATTTTACTCGCTAAGAATAGTGGCAAGCTCCCGCCACCATGACCAATGCATAAAATATGTAAATTTTGTTTTCCTTGTATTGCATTCAAAAGATCATACCCACAAGATGCTATAGTGGTCAACCCAACCGATACCATACTCTTCAGATCTGAAATTTTGAACAGATGGATTAGGTGAGTCATACTATTGTTCAAATTCCTTCTAAGAGAAGCTTAAATTTGGCAGCAGGAAAATTTCGTCATACATAACATCGAAAGGACAAGACAGATAGAGAAATTACAAGGAACAGCCAAGCAATGCGCCTGCTGCATGAGAAAAATTGACTCGGGTTCTGATTCCTGGCAAGCAGCCATTACTTTGGCAGTGCTTTGGCGAGTATTATCATTGAAGCGAAGCACCCGCCATTGATATCCAAGAATCTCGAACCGTCCCTCGTTCTTGCTGCCAGGGCATATCTCTGCATATCTTTGTTGAAGCCACCTTCCAGTTCCTGGCCAATGAAGTCCATTCTGCATCATTTTGTAAATCAATATCATCCTCAGCTAACGATGCAATGGGCATACGACAACGATCAAGCCGAAACTTAGGCTATTCAAGATTTTGAAGGAACAAGCCATTGCAACTTGGAAAATTAGCTCCAACGATAAAAGAAATGAACAATAGAATACAATCACACTCGATTTTGTAAATAATGTCAGTTCATACAAATGTTGGAAAACGAAAAGCATTGCAGATCAAGCATGTAGTGTTCTAAGGTAGATGGAGAGACTAACAGGCCTGGAAGAAGGATATGCAATAACAGAGACTACGCCGTTTCCCTTTTCAGATGCTGAACGGAAAACAGCGTGCCCATCACCGTCGGAATCGTTCCCCCACCATTCAGAGGCGTAGAACCAGTCTCCCTCGTCCTCGACACGACGGCGAGTGCCCGCTGAAAACCGCCGAGCACCTAGCCCTCGCATCAATCCAACTCTGCGCCACATTTCTCAGGCAAATCCAGAGCCCAGATTCATGAATCATGCAAGAATCCATAGCCGAAGCTTGGAGTTATAAACCTCGCGGTCTTCGTCGGTCTCTGCAAATTTCTCCCGTTGAGGGTTTAAGCGTCTGGTTGGGGGAGCAACGTATCCTAATCCCGGCTAAGCTGCTATCCCTAACCCGGACAAGAATATGAGCCTAGATGCGTAAATATGCATTAGACAGTATACTCCCTCCAATTTAATTAATGAATCGTAAATAATTAGCAAAATGTTTTATCAAAATAAAAACTATTAGTTCTCAAAATAATAATAACTATTATTATGATTTAAAGCCATTATTAAGAAAAAAAATCATTATTAACAGTTACATCACATAATGTTGCACGTTAAATACGTAGGCAATGGAGTTTTATCAAAATAATGATTTTGTAATATTTTTACTTAAATTCAAGATATTTTGTAGCCAAACCGAATATGATTTTTTTAGTATAACATGTGGGGGTGGGGGATCGCACTCACTACCTCTTGTTTTGAGATATATATCAATTATCGCTATGTTCGTTTTAACAACCGAACATAGTTAAGATCACTAATCTCTGACTAAAAGATTCGTACATATATATTTAAAGATAACTACATAATTTTTTAAGTTCATTTTTTTTTCATTTTATAGAATAAATATGTGGTATGGGAGTTTGAAATTCGACCTCAACCCAATAGATTATATATTTTTATTGTTGAAATATACTCGTGTAAACCTTGAAATGTTTAAATCAAAATCACCATGTTTGTATTTTTTTTAATTCAATCATTTTTGTAATGTTATATTTTATTATAAAACAAAAACATCATCGTCATCATTATATTTCATAGCGATTTTATTTTCGTTAATTGGCTTCTATTTTTTAAGGGAAAAAAATAGCCTCCATCTGTTGACTAAAATTCGAAATATTAAAAAAAAAGTGTCCCAACTCCAATCACTTTTGACTATCTCAATACTATTAAAAAGCAAACGAAATCAAATACGATTTGCAGATTCAAACATTCCTACAAAAAGGGAAATATCAGTGTCACTTTTGGGAGAAATCTCGCGAAGATCAAACCCAAATGAACTACCAAACAAGAACGAGAAAAAGAAAAAATAAACCCAATTGGAAATATAGATAAAAAAAAGGTTCAAATAATATTTTGGTTCAGAAAATAAAAGGGGAATGGAGGAGATGGAACGGCATCGTTGACAATACAAGAACTTCTCTTCTGAACTCAGCAGCAGCAAAAACTAAAAGAAAAGCATGGCTAAATGCTAATGGGGTCCGCCACTGCGAAGGTTTCAGGAAAATGCGCCCCTTGGCGTCGGTTGACCCAACGATCGCTTACACGTTCGATTTGAATCATTTCATTTTCTGAAATCCCAAAAGCCATTTCTCCCAAAACTTCGCTCACTGATCATTCTCTTCTCTTTGAAGACACGCATTGAGCACGTCATTTCTGGGTATCTTCTTCTACTGATTCGTTCTGATGGTTCAAAACCCAACGCCCATATGCCGCATCTCTGTTTCTTCGACGGCCCAAGCTGTTCCCAAGAAGATGAAAGACCAATCCACTGGTGGGTTTGATCTAATCTAATCTGATATTGTTCTTGATTTTGTGTTCTCGGTGTTTGTATTGATCTCTTGTTTCTTCTGTTATTGTTGGATTCGAATTTCGAAGTCTATCCCAAGGTGAAGGTGAGGGAGGAGAAAGACCCCGATGATGATCACCCTGCTGTATACGAGCAGAAGAGAAGTTATCTGTTGTCTCTGAAAGATTTTGAATCACTCTTCCTTGAAGACTCCTCCAATTCTCCAGGTACTCACAAATTTCTGGAAATTGTTACAACTTTATGGGTCTGTTCTGCTGGAACGATGAATCTTGTGCTGTCGTTTTTTGTATGTGGTTTCTGCCAGTTGAAAACTGATAGCTTGATCAACCAACCATGTTTCTAGTCTTCTCCTCATGATTTGGAGGCTGAGAATGAAAAACCAGAAGTTGAAACTTTCAATGTTAAACCAAGTCTCTGTCTCGTGTGTTGAAGCTTCAGAATATTTGATGTCTTTCATGATTAGGAAAAGAAAATGAAAATCCAGAACACTTTTCCTAGACAAATTTGCCCCCAAATAAAAAAGTTAGTTGCAATTTAGAGTATTGTTTCTTTTTTAGGATAAGAAACTATACACAGTTGAACGGGATAAACTACAAGAGGAGAAGGATTTAATTTTAAAGAAGTTAAGAAGGAAAACTCCAATTGGAGGCAGTGGAGAAAGGGAAAATAACCACAAAACTCTTTAGACCTCAACTTCAAAGAAAGGTATCAAAAACTTTAGCATCCCAAATGTTCAACCGGTCTTTACAGAACATACTTGAAAGATCCTCCAGCAGACGGATTTGTGACAAGCTCACTCCCTTTTCACACCTTCACGGATTTGTATCGTCATGCATCATCTTCTTCCTTCTACCATAGCAGACGACCTCGAGTTCCTAATCAGATAACAAGGAAATTTAGGAAGTATAATATTTCAAAGTTTCCCTCTGAACTTTTTGAATTGTTTTTCTAATTACGATCCTTATGATTAAAGCCAATTGGGGGAGTTTTTAATGACCCCTTTGGTTTTTGCATTTTATTTGTTACCTATGTTTCTTATCGACAATAGCAATCATAATAATTTTGAACATTTGACTCAATTAATTTTTACCTGATACTTTTATTGCAAAAATGTTGGTAATCACAGGAAAAGAGCATCGTGTTTCTCCATCATCCAGTGCTCAAATTCCAAAAGCTTGTATTCCCAACGTAATCGAACCATCCCCTTCTGAATCCCAAGGTATATAATCATCCTTGTACTTCCTGATGAAATCTCATCCTACTCCACGTTGCTACCTGAGATAATACATTCACAGCCAACACACCTACTTTGTTTGATTTGCAAAAGCAGAAAGGAGGTGTAAAACGGTTGATGTTGTTGAGGAGGACAACAACATAAATACTAGAGCTAATTCAATCCCAATGCCACGTGCCGTCGTATCCAGCCCTGGTATTTCCTACCTGCTATGAAGTAATATTTGTGAATTTAAGTTTTATTGATCTTTCGAAGTTTCTCATCAACATGTTCTGGATACAGACTTTTGTCTTCACGTTTACCATGTTAGAACTGTTTTTACTACATTGTCAAACTGTCCAAATCAAATAGAACAGGCATAGTTCCACAACATGGAGAGAAATTTTAATTATTAATAATGATCCAAGTCCAAAATTCTAGGGTGAGATTTCTTTCATAAGCACTATGAGTTTACCTATATGTTTGAGTATGTTGTGGACTCTAAAGCATCTTTTATGTATACGCCTCTTGTGAATATCATTTTATTGATTGAAGCTTTCAATATCCTTTTCAGAAAATGATATAATGATAGGGAAGAAAAACAGAAAAACAACAGAAAAACCATCAGTTTTGAAGAACCACAATTCAGTTCAGTCCAGACACGCACAGTGTAAGATCATGGCTAGCCACAGTGGCAATGAAAATCCAATTACCACGAGGAAGTCCAAGGATGCTGCGGATAATAAACGTCGTCAAGTTGGAAAGAGTGGTACGGTGAACAGGGGCAGCAGTTTCATGTCAAAGAAAACTCCCTAGAAACAAGAGACCAATCTCTCGGGTGATATCTGGCATGTCATAAACCTTCCAGTAGGCCAAATATAAGCCTTGAGTCGATGCTTGCATTGGATAGAAGTATCGTTGTGGTGCTGTGTCAAATTGCTCATCAATGCAAATGGGTTACTTGTTCATACTATAGCTTGGAATCAACTTCCTCGCTAACATGAATTACTTTATATCCATGTAGCCTGAGATGTTTTGAACTTGAAAACTTGAGACCAATGAAGTTCTAGTAACAGCCAGCAACACCTTTTTCACTTATGTTGCTGTGAAACCAATCTAGACATGCACTATTAAACATTATGCTGTTTGGAACTCGGCTTCTCTCATTTTAGAATTTCATTTTCCATCTCCAGATTCAATAACTTTACAACACAACAGATTCTATCAAAATGTGGATTTGAACGATCTCCAGAAAGAAAGACATGCCCACTATTACTTATCTCAATCCAGCTACACCCTGGTTGTTTCTTAACTCCATTAATCTTCATTCTTGCCAATATCCTCTCAGCATCTTCTCTTTTCCCACCTCTCAAGTACATTTCTGCTAAAATCAAATACACTCCAGAGTTATGAGGCTCCTTCTCCAGGACCTTCTCACCTGCAATCACACCTACATCATAATTCTTGTGGATTCTGCAATCTCCAAGCAAAGCCCCCCAAACGCTTGAAGGAATTTCAATTCCTTCTGCTTTCATTTCGACTAGAAAACTCAATGCCTCATTGATAAGCCCAAATCTCCCAAACAAGTCAACTAAGCACGTGTAATGCTCACTTAATGGCTGAATAGAACACATGTTTTTCATGAAATTGAAGTAGTGCCTACCCTGGTCCACCAGACCGTTATGGCTACAGGCAGACAGAACACCAATAAAGGTGATATGATTGGGTTCTACGTTAGCCAATCTCATTTTTTCAAACATCTCCAGAGCTTCGTTACCATTTCCATGTTGAGCAAACCCACAGATTATAGAATTCCAAGAAATCACATCCCTGGTTGACATGGAAGAGAACTCTATCAAAGCACAGTCCATGTTTCCACATCTTGCGTACATAGTAACCATAGCATTCGAGACTGCAACAAAGCCATTGAATCCCGCTTTTAGAACAAGTGCATGTGTTTGTTTACCAAGCTGCAAAGTTTCCAGGCCGGAACAGATTGTTAGAACACTCGTAAATGTAGCTTTATCAGGATGTGGACCTAACCTTATCATTCTAGTGAAAAGCTTCAAACCTTCCTCACCTTGATCGTTTTCTCCTAATCCAAATATTGTAGCATTCCACACAGTTGCATCCTTGTACAGAATCGATTCAAAAATTTTCACAGCCATCCCAACTTCACCAATCCCAAAATATCCCACGATCAGATTAGTCCAGGAAACTATATTACCATATGGGGTTTTCTCAAGAAATGCATGAGTTTCTTTTACCAGTCCCTTTCTTATGTACGCCAGCACAATACTGTTCCATGTTTTTTGGCATTTCTCTGGCATATCCATAAACAGCCTCCTAGCATCATCAACCCTTTGGCTTCCAACCAACCCATTCACTAAATCGTTCCAAGAATCAAAGTTCCTTTCAGGCATTTTCTCGAACAACTCCTCTGCCTCTTTAATCTGGTCATTTTCTATATACCCGGCCATCATCGCATTCCAAGCTCGAGCATCTTTCACGGGCATGTTCTCAAATAGCTCTCTCGCTTCATCTATACGTCCTGCACGCGCAAGCCCCGAGATCATGATGGTCCACGACACAAGATCCCTCCTGCTCATTCTATTGAAATACTCTTCAGCCAAATCAAGTCGGCCGCAATTTACAAGCCCGCCAATTATCAAGTTCCAAGAAATTACATCTCGCAAAGGCATTTTATCGAACAGCTGAACCGCTGCCTCGAGTAACTCATTCCGAATATATCCCGCAATCATTGAATTCCAACTCACAACATCTCCGAACGGCATTACAGCAAAAACATCTTTTGCACCATCCACATCCCCGCATTGCATCAGCCCAGCAATCACGGTGTTATAAGAGAAAACATCACGCTCGGGCATTCGACGAAATAAGCTAATCGCATCACCACGCCGCCCGTTCAAGAAGTACCCTCGAATCATAGCATTCCAAGTCACAACATTTCTTTGAGCCATTTCGTCGAACAGTTTCTGGGCTTCTTCTACTAAACCATTTCTCATACAGTTTGAGATCTCGGAATTGAGAGGCTTTAGATTTAGAAACGACGCCGGTGTATGACGGGATTGTAAGCAGGAGGTCGAAGTTGCGAGAGAGATTGATGTCCTGAGATGTAGAGAGAAACTCCATGTGGGTCTGAGAACAAGTGAGGGCCGAGCTACAAAGATCATTCTCCATTAGTTTAGAAACAATAGCACATGGGAAGCAGAAGAACAGAGTCGGTCCCGTAATATATAGTTTTCGCCTGAAGTTTCACCGGAGCCACTTCCAAGCAAGTCAAGCTATGAACAAAATACAGAAGAACAGGTTCGGATGTTGTTCATAGCTCAAATACAGTTGCCACTTCCAAGCAAGTCAATCTATGAACAAAATTGCCCATTGCCTTGTGGGAAACCTTTCGGCCGGGAAGACGAAAATATTTGCATCCACAAAAATGTCCAGAAAATCATTAAGAAAAAATCAACTCGTCTTTAATTTTTGGGTCGATTTTTTTTTAATTTCTTTTTTGGCCAAACTGAGCTAAGTCACTGCGACTTGGAATTCGAATTTTTCATTGTGAACTTAATTAAGTAGATACTTATTTAGTTTGAATACCACTTTTTTAGACCTACTATTTAAAATAAATTATTTTTTAATGAAAATTTTGTTAGTAGTTTTTTTTTTTTTCCATAAGTTACCACCAAATTAGTCTTGGCGAGTATCTTTCCAATTTTATCAAATAGTGAGACTATCACAAAACGTCCCAAATACCAAAATCATACGTCATTATTTTTAGTACAATAAATTGAGAGTTCCAACGTTAGACCATTTTTTCTCTTTGAATACAACAATTGAAGTTAGAGAGGTTCAAACTCATGAATTATTAATCATATATATGTGTCTATTACTATTGAATTAAACTCGTGACAACATTCGAACTTAACAAACAATAAAATCAATAGTATATCAACACATTAGTTGACTAAAATGATATAATTAATTTCGGCATAGCTTATAAGTTAAAAAAAATTAAAAGGGTGTAGGTTCAAATTACATATATTACAATATTAAAAGAAATTGATGTGTTAATCCAAATGGGGATTTAACATTATCTATCTCTCACAATTGGACACCAAGCGGCCACGTCTGCATGAACTGCTGACAAACATTCTCCACATGATCAGTTTGAGGCTGCGAAAAGGCAACACCGCTCTCTATTCTACCGCTGCTACCCCCTGCTACTCCCCAATCGGATTCCACCACCATGGCCGCCGCCGCCGCCACCGTCGGCTCGTCCTTCACCGCTTCCACGCACTCCTTTAAGGGTTTACGGTCCAAGCACTGGCTCTCCGATTCTCTCCTCGCAATGCCATCAACCCAAATGTTGCCTGTCTTGTCACGCTATCTGGCCCTTGAATCGGCTTCGCTCCGAGCTTTCTCCGAGAAGTGGCGGCCGGTTCTGGGCATCTCCGCCGCCGTGGTTCAAGGAGAACCGGCGGTGACGGCTGATGCTGAAGAAGGTGTGGCGGAGGAGAAGGGAGGAGGGGAAGCGGTGGGTGGTGGTTCTCCGGTGGAGGCCGGGAGTACTAAGCTCTACTTTGGGAACTTGCCTTACAGCGTTGATAGTTCCCAGCTCGCCGGCATCGTTCAGGAACATGGGGTCCCTGAGCTTATTGAGGTATACTGCCTGCAAATGTCACTGATTAGTTTTATATTGAACTCTAACATATGATTTACTTCCAATCGAAAGTACAATATGAAAAATTTAGCTTCGGAGGTCAAGCTCATGAGTTAATTTTCAGTGCTTCAAATCACAATGGGGTTTATAAGAGCAACAATTCGATTACTTTTTCACCATGTTAGATAAGTTGACTAACTGACAAACTATGAAACCAACTATAAATCTAGATGTTTTTTGGAGTAAAGACCTCAAATCTTAGTGGTCACTTACCCAGTTACCGGAGATCCTACCAGCTTTTGATGTCAAATACTGTAAGTTCATGTGATTAAATCAGTATCTGAGATGCATATGTTAAGTTAGTTCAAACACCCGCAGAAAATCCACTGGCCACTAGCTCGTTTAGGAGCATATAGGTTTGATACTGGTTGGCAACTATACGTTTATTCAATGAGTCAGCTCCACCTTTTTTTTTAATCTGTGAGTGTTGGCGCCAGTTTAAACGTACCTTGACTAATTCAAACACCCTACTAGACTTGGACTTTGTTGCGAAAGAAACCTCTAGCTACTTGGCCACCATGATTTGAACCTATCCCCTCGGGCCCTTTACTTTTCTCATTGGCTCCTGATGACTCTTAGACCAACTTATGTGGTTAGCTAGCTCCACATCTTAACAAAGAACAAATAAACAAGATATCCTTGTACAAGGAAGAGCCACGGTTCTTTTATAATATTAGTGACCATTAAACTTGTGATAACTCCAACGCTGCTTCAGAAAAAGTTCAGATGTTGTAATTTCGTCCGTCTAATCCTAAAAACACAGACTTCTCAACTGTCTGCATTCAATCTTTATTTTGAACTAATTCACCAAGAGCATATTTTCTCATTAAATTATTGTTTCTGGAGTCTCTAATCATTTCAAATGGGTATAAGGTTCTTTATGACAGGAATACTGGAAAGAGCAGAGGATTTGCATTTGTAACCATGAGCAGTATTGAAGATTGTAATAGAGTCATCGAAAATCTGGATGGAAGTGTGAGAATCTCTCTCCCACCCTCCCCCCATTCTCTCCTTCATGTTGCTAAGATAATTTCAAATAATTTCAAGAACAAACTATTGGACTCTGATGATAAATATATGAGTGTTTCTTGTCAATCAGGCTTACATGGGCAGAGTTTTGAGGGTTAATTTCTCAGACAAGCCTAAGCCTAAGGAACCTTTATATCCAGAAACAGAGTATAAGCTTTTCGTCGGCAACTTATCCTGGTCGGTAACATCTGAAAGTTTGACACAAGCTTTTCAAGAATATGGAAATGTGGTAGGAGCAAGGGTCATCTATAATGGGGAGACTGGAAGGTCACGTGGTTATGGCTTTGTATCTTATTCAACAAAACCAGAGATGGAAAAAGCACTTGAAGCTCTTAATGAAGTGGTAAGAGACTTTCTTAGTTCTCCTGTATCTTTTTGTTTCACATTATCGTATTATATCATGTAGCTCAATTGTGTTGCTTTTTTTTTTTTTTGTTTTTTTTGTCTTCATAGGAACTTGAAGGCAGGGTAATACGTGTGAGCTTGGCTGAAGGAAAGCAGGCACAGGGGTAAATGTAAAACTGATTTACAATGAGCAAACAAGAAACGGGAAGGAGTTTCTACCTAGGTAGCTGTAAACAAACAGACCGTAAGTGATTGAATCTTCTTTCTTCTTTCTTCTTTCTTGTTGTATATACCCCATTTTCCACTTTTGTACCTCACGAGCGAAACTCAATGGGAAAGTATTTTTGGTCTGCGGCAATTGTGGTATTATCATATCAACCCTGATTCAAACTGATGATCCGAACACTAAATTTTAAAAATGATTGTACAATGACTAAGAAAGAAATAAGGAAGAATACTTACTGAGCTGTTGCTGCACGAACGCCGCAAATGATTGAACCTTCCTTCTCATTTGTTGTCATATATATATATATACTAACTGAGGAAATCCTTGGATGGTCTCTAGCAATTGTGGTACAGATGTTATATTAACCTTGATTCAGATTGATGATCACACTCTAAATCTTACTATCAGCTGTAGCAGGGAGTCGGGACTGAAGGATGAATCGGATGAACTCCACACTACTTGAAGGTCTGTCACTAGTTATCTCATCGGAGATCAGCTCCTCAAAAACACTGTTCAAATACACTGCACTATTTGCCCAAGTAGGAAAATTCACTCTAGTCTTGGGAAGAGTTTACTGTTTGTTCACCCAGCAATCTCGTTCTATTTTTGAAAGTATCAACACGTCAAAAAGAATACACGCAAAGCTGAAAAATAAAACCAGCCCACCACTCCAGATTCAAAAACTCATCCTCAAGGACTTTCTGCAAACACCTGGTGTGCACCCCACTAGACAAATCTAATCTTCTAAGGATTTCTTACCTCCAAAAGGGAGAAAAGAAAAGGTTTGGTTTGCAGGGCAGGAGCAGCGACTGGTGAGCGTGAGAAATACAAACTTATGCAGTAGATTAGATTGTGCCGATCTCTGTCTCCAAAAACTCTAAAAGCCCCGTAGAGGCACAAAAGCATTGTTCCAATTGTGTCAGCAGACAAGGAGAGCATTGTGCCCTTCTCTTTATGGGCGAAATTATTATGCATTTATGTTCTTGAGGTTGGGGCAGCCAAATTGCGGCCGCTACAAATGCATTTATCTCTACTTTTCCTTCTTACTTTTTGTGATGGCAATTTGTGACAAATTAAATGGAAACTAATAAGATAAAGTTGAATTCTTACATCAAGGATCGAATAGATATTTAAATCTCCAATCTGATAATAGTTCGGTGGTAATTGACATATACCCCCTAGCTAAATTTGTATCAACATCACTATTTGTTTTTTAAAAATACAACAACACGATGGTGGAGATTTAAACTCATGATATTCTAATCAATGATATTCTAATCAGGTATATGTGTTTAACCAGTTCAACTATGTTAAAATTGGTATGAAAAAGTTTACATTTTATTTTTTAAAAAATTRCATTTTTCTGCCAGTCTATGAAGTTAAATTAATTGACTTATATTACATTGTAATTTAAATGACGTCATTTGTTGACTTTCAAAAAGAGAAGAAAAAAACAGAGTAATAGACATTTCGGGGATATAAAAACAGCTTCTTTTTTGATTTTGTGTTCCCCCATTTCCCTTCCATTTGATTTAATTACGTAATTGAATCGATTGAAAATTAAATGCAGAAAGAATCTAAAGAAATATGGGAGAACCAATGTGATGCCAACATAAAACAACGGTTGGCAGACATGAGAGAAAGCAAACAGCTTGACACCAAAATTAATAAAGAAAACCAAAAATCAGTGGCGGAGAAGAAGACTATTCCCTTGTAATATTTATCCCCACCTTTCTCTCCAGCTTTATCCCTTAAACCCTCTTGCTCTCTCTCTCTACAACTTCCCCTGCCTCGCGCCTCTCTCTCTCTCTTCCCCTTGGTATATACTGCTACTTCACGTGTTCTTGAATTTATCTATTTGATGGGTTCATAGATGAGAATGAATCTGAAATGGGTTTTCATTTTCTTTTTTGGTGGAGCATTGTAGATCTAAGATTTTGATTGTGGGACTTGTTCTTCTGTCTTATTGTTTTTTAGGGTTTAAGGGTTTCCGTAATGGGGACGCCGTTTCACATTCCGGTCACTGCTGCTCAGGTTTCATTCCTTTCCCTCGTGTTGCTTCTTTTGTTTAGGCATTTGGGTCTCATTTTTCGTGCGGAAATTTGATGTGGGATTTGGTTGGTTCAGGTGGGAACGTACTTTGTTGGGCAATATTATCAGGTTCTTCAGCAGCAACCCGACTACGTGCACCAGTTCTATTCAGATGCGAGTACTATGCTTCGTGTTGATGGCAATTTCAGAGAGACCGCCACTGCAATGCTGGTACTTCTTTTTTTTTTCTCTTTTATCTTGTCCTTTTTCCTTTTGGCCTCTTGATTTTTCAAGAAGAAATTGAAGTTTTAGTCCTCTGTGTGAAAAGGGCTAGAATCTTTTACGAGCGTTACTTTTTGAAGTGGGCTGTACGTGAGTGCATAATGTGAGCGTTACTTTTTGTGGGTGCATAATGCGTGTGTTTGTTTGTGTCAATGCTCCAATTTTGATGTCTTTTCCCCTTAATCTTAGTGTTTTATATAATTAAGATAGAACGTCCGATTTCGTGGCACATTTCTTCTTGTTCTCCTATCTTCTTATGATTCATATAGTTTATCTTTGCCGTTTTATCTGCAGCAAATACATGCACTTGTTATGTCACTTAGTTATACCGGGATTGAGATCAAGACAGCACATTCATCAGAATCATGGAATGGTGGTGTTCTTGTGATGGTTTCTGGCTCCGTCCAAATGAAGAATTTCAATCGAATGAGAACTTTTGTGCAAACTTTTTTTCTTGCACCCCAAGAGAAAGGCTATTTTGTTCTGAATGATATCTTTCACTTTGTTGATGAGGAGCCAGTGCACCATTATCCAGCAGTCTTGTTAACTCAGAGCAATCTTGATTCCACCTTAAGTGCTCCTACCACAGTTCCAGAGACAGGTTTGATTTATTAACCACATGGGGAACAAATTATTTGCTTCTCTGGATGTATTGGATTATTAGAACACAACCTAAGTAATTTCGTTGAAGCTATGCGGTTATTTTCAGGGACTCCTTTTCCACTTTGCTTTCTTTTACTTTATGGGAACGTTAATACTGTTGAGATCACCTATTAAATTTTCTTCGATAAATAATGTTCTTTTGGGGTATCTTTTGACTTTTTGTTCTGGCTTGGAGTTTTCGCATGGAATTGATTTGTTCCTGACTTTTCTTAGTAAATCTGATTATTTATGTCTGGAATACTTTGCTGATTGAAGTTATTTTTTCTTGTAGTGTCCAATTACTCACTCAATGGAGAAGTCCAGGCGCGAGAGTTTGCAGCCCCTGCTGTCAAAGAAAATGGTCACATTGATAACCATAAGTTTGTAGAGCAGAAACTGCAGCAAGTTCCAGAGTCGAAAACCATTCTTGAGGAAAATACAGCAGATGTAAATTCTATGCATCAGAATGCATCGACTGTTTTCCAGGATCATTTGCCTGTTTCTGTTGAAGAACATGCTGAGGAGCCTCAAAAGCACACTTATGCATCAATTGTATGTTTTGACATTAATAATCAATCCACCATAGATATCGTTTACAGTTTTGATCAATATGCATAGAAGGGAACTGACGCCATTTATTCTAATTTCTAAGCTAAGAGTTGCTAAAGGACAAGATACTCCCATTGCTGCTCCTCAATATCCTGTTAGTAAGAGCACGCCACCTGCTTCAGAGCAAAACCACACTTCACCTCTCACCAGTCAGCAGTTAACTACACCAACCCCAAATAACTCTGAAAGGGAACAGACAGGAGGGGAGTTCCCGTCTATTGACGAAGATGGTTAGCCATGTTGCATTGATCATAATTCGTAACTTTAGCTATTTATGTGGGAAATATGACATTTTTTTAATTTTTGTGTACGAAGGTGAAATAAAGTCGGTTTATGTTAGAAACTTGCCATCAACTGTGTCTGCTTCAGAAGTTGAGGAGGAATTCAAGCATTTTGGCAAACTCAGTTCTGATGGGGTGGTTATTAGGAGTCGCAAGGTCTTCAGGCTTTATATCTTTTCAGTTTATTTCTTTGTGCCTGTCTCAAATCATTTGATTGGCTAACTATCTCTCGACTTCCAGGATGTTGGTTTTTGCTATGCGTTTGTCGAATTTGAAGACATCACTGGTGTCCAAAATGCAATCAAGGTTTTGCTTCACCTGTAATCCTTGGACCTTAGTGTTTTCTTATTCTTTGCCTTTGTTCTTTCTTTCTTTTTAAAATTGAACGTTACTTTCTGCATTATAAACATCTATGCTTTCATCCCCCACCCCGCCTACCTTACCAAGTTTTGTTTGAAAAGGTTAGGAAAGTATGTCTCCAAAAAGTAAAAACATCACCAATAACATTTTTCCCCTTTTACCAAAAAACTTGTTTTATTGTGGCTTTTGTGATCCTTGTTCTAATTGTGACCAATTGTCGAATCCCATTGAAAGGACATGTATTCTGTTGTAGAGATCACACCTTCACTGAATAGAGATTTTGATTAACGGTCTCTTTTTCTCCTCTCCAGGCGGGTACTGCTCAGGTTGCCGGGCGTCAAGTATACATTGAAGAGCGAAGAGCAAACAGCAACATCCCACATCGAGGGGGAAGTATGCATTCTTTCATATCCCGTCTCTTCAGAATTCTAACGTTAATAATCATATCTTTCACTTCCAAGTACTTGCATCCACTGCTAATCTGATATTATGAACCATGTCTGGCTTTGCTGATGCATTATAAACTTGCAAAACTAAACTAATTTGATAAGTAGAGCTGTTTTTTTGTCTGTCTACTTATGAACTTACGTACTTTTTCGAGTAAATGCATGGTGGTAAGCTTGGATTCTTGATTTAAGCGGAATGACATGAATCTCTTGTTGAGTTTTAGTTCTGAATTCCTTTTTTCTACTAGCTTTTCATTCTGTCCCTGAATACTTTATTGTGATCAGGAAGGGGTAGAGGAAGAGGTAGCTACCACACAGAGTCTTCTCGGGGCCATTTTAGCTCTCGGAATTACAGTATGGGAGTTCGAGAAGGAAGCGACCGTGAGTTTATCAGACCGAGGGGCAATGGCTTCTATCGACCTACCACTCGACAGGAGAAAGGAAACCTTAACCTCCAATTATCAAGAAATGGAGAAAGTCTTTCAGAGTCATCATAGCTCGTTTAGCAAAGCAAAAGTTTTGGTTCTAGCATCATCAGCGAGGCACACTCACCTTACTTTGAAGAATAATTTGAGTCAGTTTAAGCCATTTGTCTATGGGAATATGAATTGCATTATTTTTTTTCCATTGGGTTTCTTGATTCAAGAACATTTCATGAAACTCACTGTTTTGCCTGTAGTGCGCTCAATTGATATTCATTGTTATAAGCACACTGTTTTAGATATAATCAAATTTCGTCTCACTCACCAACAAAGCCTGTTGAGTTGCAGATTTGATGTTACCGTTCAATTATTGTTGTGCAATGCAAATTTATTCCGACACATTTATTATCTATTTAGAATTGGCCATGGTATTGAAGACTTCATTGAGATCAACAATTTCGAACTGATTTCTGATTCAAAGACAACCAACTTTCAGCAGGTTATTATTATTCAGTGTCTATGTCTGTTTCATACATAAAACTAGAACAATGTTATTTTGCTTCAAGTTCATCATATAATACATTATATCACTAATTTTGCTACATTTTTAAAAAGTTCAGGCATTTCCTACAGAAACTACCACTGTTTCTAATGAAGGCAATTGAGAGCCATTTTTGCTTGGCCCATCTTCCTCCTCGTATTCATCTGTTTCCCAAAGGAAGCTTGCATATGCACCAAGAACATGGCTGAAATTGAAAGAAACAAGAAGGTAATTGATTGTTAATAATACAAGCAAAAGACAGCCAAAGCTAATACTGTTCTGCAGTAAAGGGAACCTATTTTATGTACCTGTCTGTAGGAGAGGCTTCTACCGCTCTCTCGAAGTAATTTGATGCTTTCTGGTAGTCGTGATGTAGCTCCCACACCAATTTTGCATATTCTGATAACACTTCCCCGTCGACCAGGTCTGCCTGTACGGCACGGCTATAGTATTCCTCTGCTCCTCTAAGGTCTACCTTAGGCTGCAGGCATCGACAAACATGCATTCACAACTCAGAACAATTGTAGCTATTGATTCCTAAGATAAAAAGTGCATTTCAGACAATCTAAGCGCATAGTAATAGAAGTTTAAAATTGTGAACTGAATGCCCATGAAGGAGTTAAGAACTTGTTTTTTCTTTCTTTTTTTCTTTTCTTTTTTTTTTTCGATATTTAAACCAGAAATGTCAACCAAAGTCTTTCATTGGCAGAGAAGAAAGTGGTCCAGTAAAACAATCTCATTGCGATTTTATAACTAAAAGACACGACAAAATAGTGTCACCTTGCACAAGAACTGAGCATAGTTTTTCAGAAGCAACAGATCAGTGGGGTTCTCCTTAAGCATCTTCTTATAATACTCCTCTGTATCACTCTCACCAGTGTCAGCTACTGGTTCAATTTTTCCTTTCCCGTCTTCTTCCCCAGGGGTCTGCAGATAATAGGACATCAGGCAATTAATACATATTAGCTCTGAAAATACTACGATAATATGCGGGGAAGAAAGAAGTAGCATCACCATAGTTTCATCTTCCTCATCATTCTCCCGTTCCCACAGGAATTTAGCACGTGCTGCAAGAATTTGGCTGCCAATGAAGAAATGGAAACAAACATTCAGTTCATTTGATAGAAACGCTAAAGTTGCCATTCTCTTCAGTTCAATCAGGTAAATATCCACTTCAAAACTAGAAACTGCATTTGGATAATCTAACGAAGAATGTCTGCAGATATTTGGTTATTGAGGGAACTATTTCATTATTCTACAGCCAAGCACTCATTCACCTGTCATTTGGATCAACAAGAGCTGCTCGTTCAAAGTAACTTGAGGCTTTAGCCTGATCATGATGGAGTTCCCAGACCAACTGAGCATACAGCATCAGAGTTTCACCATCTTCAGGATATGTTAATGTAGCTTGATAGCACTGTTCCTCGGCTTCATCAAGTTTTCCGTCTGACTGTCATCACAGTATTGAAATACATGGTGTTAACTGAGATTCTTGAGATTGTTTCATGAAACAATAAAGAAACGGCTCGGTAAACTTTTAGTGTACACAAATTGATAAACAACTCTAGTTAAATTACACGTTTGGTCACTGAATTTCGAGGGAATTCCTTAAAACTTTCAATGTTGTGTCAATAGGACCAATTAGACACAGGTACCAAAGTTTTAACTTAACAACTGCTAAAACAAAACAGATCTAGCCTCACCGCTTCACTTGTTAGCTTAATAATTGGAAAATCAGCTCAAGAGAGGTTCTGAAAGAACAAGGAATTCAAAAGAAGCCCAGAAACATCACGGGCGACCCAGGAACAGCCAGAAATTTGATGCATCAAACCCATCATTGATTGGTAAAATTTGTCCAATTCATGAAGATTAAGTAGTAAATCACAGTGAAAATTGGGGCGAGTAGAAGAACTTACCCATAAAGACTGCACATAGTTTCTCAGAAGCGAGGGAGGCTCATCCACTATCTTCTCGTCATAAAAATCGACAGGATCATAACCACCGCCGAGACCAGAAGCATCCATTCCAAGCCCTGCCGCTAGGTACAGCGGAGGACTGGCTGGTCTGAGGTCAATTTCGCCGTCGTCAAAACCCCATTTCTTAACCGAGTGGAGACCATCTTCGTCTTCCATTTCTTCCTCTTGAATCAACCCCATAGCCCCTTTGGAAAAACTGAAGTCGCTACCACTACCCAGAGCTTCTTTGCTCACTTCAATCGTGATAACCTTTTCAAATGCTTCTAACCCCACGACTTGCTCCTGATTCTGATCATCAGCGTAAATCGAGAACGAAGCTGAAGAGTGCAACATCGAAGAGAAGAAATTGATCTTTCCGCGTTGCTGCGGAACCACACTAATCCCAATTCCCGAAGAGGACGGTGGATTTGTATGGAAATGGGAATTTTATCAAATTTCTGTTCTGGGAAATGCGAACAATTTTGCTTAGCTTAAAGAGGAAATAACTTCTCAAAATGAGAGATATTTAATACAATTCTTCTGGCGGTGAATGGTTGCATAGTTAGATTGCATATTATATTGACAACGCAGTTGGGTGAGAAACATCAAGAAGCATGTGACAAGACGTTCCAAACACGTTATGGCCACATGAAATCTATAATATTGTATGAAAAGGGGAAATCTAGATATATTAAGAATCTTTAATGCTTAAATATTTAGTACTAATGAACTTGTGGACGATAGAGAAACCCTATTGACCAAGCCTGGTTCTTGAAGCCCAAGATCTTAAAACAATGGGCTCGAACTGACAAATTCCATAACTTCAACAAACCAAACTAAAGGCGGTCTGCAAGTTGGATTTCCTCCTCCTCAGATCCATCAACAACCTTCCCCTGAACCTGCAGCGGCTTAAAAGTGTAGATTCTCGCACAAAACACATAGTAAACAAGATTCACAACCTGCAGAACCGTAATCAACCAGTAGAAATAATCCAACTTCCCCTTGTTTATATAATCATTCCGGAGCCAATTGGAGCCGTCGGGGCCAGCACTGAACTTATGCACACCCGAAACGAGAATCGTGCTCACATAATTCCCCATCGAAATCGACGCCCAGAACAGCGCCATGGCCGTGCTCCTCATACTCTCCGGCGCCTGGTCGTAGAAAAACTCCAAATGCCCGATCGACATAAACGCCTCCCCCATCCCGTTGAGGCTGTACTGGGGCACCAGCCAGAACTCGGAAAGGGGGGCGCCGGCGGCGCCGGAGATTAGGGCCACGTGTCTCCGCTTTCTCTCGACGAATCCGGCGATGAGAGTGGCGAATATGGAGATTACGAGCCGATTCCCAGTCGTGGAGGAAGGAGATGCCTCTGCCGAGGCCGGTGAACTCCCGGGCCGTGGGGATGAGGAGGCGGTCGTAGAGCGCGACGGTGATGAGCATCGTGAGCAGTGTGAACACGGACATGGAACCTGCTGGGATCCGAAACGACTTCGTCAAGTGTCGTTCGATGGTCGAGGCTTGCTGGAGAGAGAACGTGTTTTGTTGAGAATAGGCTGTGATTAGTAATTGAAGTATTTGTAGGTCTTGGAACCCTGATTCGGATCCGACTCGTCGAATTGGTCCGCCCTGAACGACACCACGCACGGTCGGATCCCCCCCCCGACCCGAGCGCCGACATTAGCAGAGAGAAGTACAGGATTCCGAGTAGCCCGCCGCTGGCTTCCTTGCACGCTTCCTCGCCGCTGCACGGCGGCGGCCTTAGCTGCGGCACCACTGCCAATATGGTCCGCGTAATTATCCCATGTAATCAAATTATTTATACCTTCATTACGGTTAAGTTACTAATAAAATACTTCTATGTAATCCAAATTTCTGTAATTATTTTATTTTAGTATTCTGATTTAATTTTTAATGTTCTTAAAAGACGAGCATATCTCAATTTGTTTAAGAAAGTTTATGGACTACATAACTGCAATAAATTGAATTTTAACACGAAAAACAAATCCCTTAAACTTTGTTTTTTTTTCTCTAATTAACAAATTCCAATTAAGAAAATATTCTAAAAGAAATTAATTATTTTTGTCATTAATTTAAAAACAAACATATTTTAGAAATTAATTTTAAAAGATACGTTAATAAAAAAAAGACTTTTTAAAGATAGAGTTATGATTGGATTGGCAAATGGCTCATTATCTAATAAAGAATGGAAGCGACGGTGATGGTCCAGAAGCGACCGACAAAGGAATCGGCGATGGAAGCTCCAATGAGCGGCGTCAAACTGGCGGCACCGTTGACGTTGGTCACAATATTTGCTCCTTTAGTTAAATACATATGTAACTCTTTGATTAAGTAGCTAATTATGTTAGCATTAAAACCAACCACCTCCAATTTCTCATCTATCTCATTAGCTTCATCAAAAACCAAAAATAAGAGATTAAATAAAATAAAATAAAAATCTAATATGAACTGATCATTTATTTAATCGATCTTAATTGGAGATTCAAATTTCCGTCGATGAAAAAGAAAAAAAATGTAGAAGAATGAAACGAAGAGTACCAAAAATGAAGGGCATAGTGATAATACCACCCTTCTTCTTCCTCTCTATGGAATTGTTATTGTTTTCATCAGTGTGATTCCAATTATTGTTGCAATTCTGGAGCTATGTGAAAAATGGCGTTTCAAAATCTCACCTTTTAAAGTTGCAGAAATGGAAAAAGAACTGTTGCGTAATTCACAATATACAAAAATGGAAACAAAATCACACGAAAACTAGAATTTCGATTTAAATCGCGTCTATTGGATACGTCGTATATGAAATGAAATCGTAGTTAATGACTGCGATTTCACTACTCTAATTTTGTATTTATTTTTTAAACTACATTACTAATAACGTTTAAAAAAATAGATTATTTGAAAAAAAAAACCTCATTTTTTCCTAACATTGAAAATATCTTGATATTGATTACGTAATATTCTTTTAAGGTAAATATATTATTTGAAGATGTGAGCTATATTCTAAATACATGGCAAAACTTGCTTTGTTTCCGAAAAAAATAAAAATTAAAAAAGGGGCAAAACTTGCCCTTTTTTTCATTTATTACAATTTGAATAAAGTGGTAGGATTTGAATATACTATTTCCAAGAGAGGATCGGGTGAAGTATGAAGTATGCTCTGGTCAACAATAAATATATATTTTTGTATTTTAAAGTGGATAAATACTTAGCCATTAACTTTCTATTAACCACCGTTAAATATTTAACAATTTTTTATCTTAAAGAAATCTCTCTTCTCTTCCATATTGTTCTCTTAATTATAAAAATATAATGATGATTAATTATGAGAATAAATCTTCTGGTTCACCAGCGTAAAGTTTCATGAAATTTCAAATACAATCATATCTACATATAAGAAGTTTTTTTTAGTACAATATGTAGGGTGGGAATCGAACTCACAACATATTGATTGGAGATATATGTCAATTACTGCGAATCTATATTAAGACTTTAAGTTATATAAATTTTATTCTTATATAAAAAAAATTTCTTTCCATATATTTGTATATGTATGCATAAAAAATATACACAAAATCATTATTAAGTATAAAATGATAAATAAATATTGCTAAATCTAAAAATAGTTCAACTGATGATGGATTTGGGCCCAACGAGTTAGATGTCAAAGCCCAATACACGTTTGAAAGGTTACACAACTTAAGTCCACCTAGGTTAAGAAAATGGATTGTCAACTGAGCTTGCAACTTCATTTACAGGTAAGTATTATTCTTCTGAAATTTAATTTATTTAGTTCAATAATAGCAGAAGCAGGGGGATCTCCACTAAATTATATTTAAATTGATATTTATACCGTCAAATTGAAGTTGAAGATTCAAACCTATATTTAATATGTGTAGTTGCTTATGTATGTGATATATTCGAGCCTATATCCTCAAAAAAGAAAAAAAAAATATAGACTCGAATCTTCAACTTCAATTTGGAGGTATAAACGTGAATTCAAATATAATTTAATGGATAAAACATTTGTTACCCTGAATTCCTCCCATTCAAATATAATAAAATAGATTCGAGCCTATATTCAACATATGTGTAGTTGCTTAGTTTGATTGAATTGAATATGTCATGTGTCACCTTTTTCAAAGGTGATTAACGAAAACCGGACTAAATTGAAGTATTTTTTAAATAGAAATTCACGAATTAAATTAATCTATAGTCCAAATCTGAAGGACTAAAAAGGTAATTTACCTAAAAAAAGAAAAAAAAAACACAAACACATATATATAAAGCCACAATATACCTAGCTTAAACAAAATTTATTAAGCTCTAGCTCCATTGGTATTCTAAAGTTTGAAGGCCCACTTCCCCACTTAACAAACATATCTTTAAGTTTCACTTTCTACAACAAAGTGTCTATGCCAATTGTCTTGCAAGTGGAAGACAATGGAAAAGGAAGGATGGATTAAGAATAGTATAAATGTGTTGGTCTCTAAAAGCCCCAACCTTGAGAATAATAAAACCCTAAATCCCTTTCTCTCCCCACTCAAGATGGAGACACCCATTCCCCCTCAATTTTTGTTTACTATTTCCTTTCATCACTTTACTTTGCCATTTGTCTTTTAGGGTTTATCAAGATTTAGAGTAGAATCTATGTACCTATATCCATTCAAAATCTCTCTTTCATCAATACATGGATTTGAATTGAGAAATATACAGTAAAAGGTTTAAATACTGGTTTGGTTCCTATACCTCTTGTTTGGATTTATTCTAGTCTTTGAACTTTCGAAACGTTTATTTTAGTCTATGTACTTTTAAAGTGACTAATTAATTTGATCCTTCTAGGGAAGATTTTAATACAAAATTTATACGTAATGAAAACTACTTTAATTCAAAATTATGGACATGTCTCAAAATAAATTAGTGATTGAAATATCATATGCTAAAATGAAGATTGAATAGAGGGGGATAGAAATGAAAAAGAATGGACCAAAATGATCCCTTATAAAAAGTTCATGGACCAAAATAACCGTTTTGAAAGTATATAAACTAAAATAAACTAAATTTGAACGTAGAAAGACCAAAATAGACGTTTTGAATGAAAGACCAAAATAAAACAAAACCGTATTTAAAAGTATATAAAACTATATAGATAGGGGAGAAACAACCCATCAATTCTTACTATAATCTATGAGTAAATGTGTGAAATAACCTTAATTAAGTATGATCTAATTATTAAATTGTAAAAGTCACTGCCGTTAATCGATATATATCTCCAATTAAAAGTGTGTGAGTTCGATTTCCTACCATACATATTATATTAAAAAATAATAATAAATGGTAAAATATCAATATACTATCTTATGAAATCATTGGTTGCCCTGCAGTAGTTGAAATAAGTTAAAAGAAATTAAAGAACTTTGTGAGAACTAATGGGTTTAAATTATGAATTTGGTTTATCAACTTTTAAATCTATTGATTCAAAAAAGATTATAATAAATTATTTAACTTTAAATTTGGTATGTAATAGATTATTGAGGCTAACACCATCAACTTTATACTTATGTGCCATGTTGAGCCGAATGATTTTAGATAATCTAAAATTTTGTTGGTGTAAGCATTTATTAAATGGACAGAGTTACAAATACCAGAACTCATTAGAAATTATTTAAAGTTAATTTTATTATTTATCCTAAAAGTAATTGAATGTCTTTTTGAAATTCTCTACACGTATTTGAAATATAATAATATATTAATTTAAAAAATTGAATGTGGAGAATTCCAATGGCAGATGGCAGTACAGGCACAGCTACAGACTACAGAGAGAGAGAGAGAGAGAGATACCTGAAGGAGACATGAATCGTGTCGAGATTCAGATCGAAAGGGAAATTCTTGTCGAGAACAATGGCGATTCATGGTGGGTAACTGCTATCACTGGTAGCCGCACTACCAGACATCTGGGTCCCATCATCATCACCCCCACCACCTCCAACTTCTTCTTCAATCCCCCTCTTCCCCTCTGTTTTCCTCTCATTTCACTTCATGGAAGCAGCCCTAGGTTTGATCACCAGTAGCGCCATTGGAACCGGCACCGGCACCGGTGGCGGCGGCTCCTCCGGGGCCTCCAATGATGAAAATACGCTTTCGAAGGCGGAGGAGGTGGAGAAGCATCACGCCGATTTGTCATCCGAGGAGTCTTCTTTCCCTGTTGAGGCCGAGCTCGAACTAGGGCTGGGGCTGAGCCTCGGAACCGGGGTTACCGCCGGAAAGGCTAAGCACGGTGCGTGGGGCGAGCGCGGCCGGATTTTAACGGCCAAGGATTTTCCGTCGGCGATCTCTCCTGGTGGGTCGTCTTCTTCTTCGCCTAGGTTCTCAGGCAGAGCTACTGCTGCTGCTGTTTCTGGTGTCAAGAGGGCGGCGGAATGTGTTTCCCATGACGGCGGATCTCCTCCTCCGGCTGTCAGGTCAGGGGAATGCTCTGTTTAACATTGCTTCTTTAATGTTTGTTTGTTTGTTTTTTTTTTTTATCAAACAGGATACAATGAATTAAGGGACCCAAGCACTGTGAAGAATAATTAACTTTTCTCTTTACAGAAATGGAGATTGATTAGAATCTCTGATTCTAAATTCGTCAAACTCAAATCTGGAACTGTTAATCGGGTTTGTATTTTTAATCCTAATAATTAACAGGAAAAAAGAGATTGTCTCGTTGAATTATTTCAAGTATGTGTATTATCCTGTTAAAATAGAATTGGATGGCTTTGAACTGTTGTTCTCTAATAGGAACTTCTATAATATGCATATGAAATAGTTAGTCCCTATACTTTTTTTATATCTTAAAAAAAATGTCCTATTTTTATATATGTCTAACTAAAGATTGATTCCACAATTTCTTGGCGACACCAGCCAAGTATTGATGTCGGGAGGTGGTGGCGTGTAGATCAAAATATTTCTCTGATGCTAGCTCGTTTCCTTTGCAATTTGGTTTCGGCTATTCTAATCCGAAGACATAAAACAGGAAAATGGTCGATCTGAAAGGGAATGTCGGATGTCTTTCTTATATTCACTGAAATTTGTCTTTCCTATTGATCATCATGAATCGTTCTATTGTTCTTTCAACTCATACTCTGATGCAATACTTGTTTTACTAATTGTTCTGTTTTTGGATGAACTGGAAGCAGTCAGGTGGTGGGATGGCCGCCCATAAGAGCTTACAGAATTAACAGCTTGGTTAACCAAGCTAAAAACCAAAGGGCTGGAGAAGAAAAGGAGCAACACTCTCTCAAGAACAGATCGAATGGTGTTCCAGAGAAGATCCAAGATAGCAAAATTACAAGTGCTGCTGATACCGAAAAGGGACCTCTTGGGTTTGTGAAAGTGTATATGGATGGGGTTCTTATCGGCCGGAAAGTGGACTTGAATGCCCATTGTTGCTATGAGACTTTAGCCCTGATGCTTGAGGACATGTTTTTTCAGTCTGCAGGGAGCGTCGAATCCACTGGTTAGTTGCTTCTCTTCCTGAGCCTGTCTATATGTCTGTGACTCCGTGTGTGTAAAGTAAGAAAAGTTGCGTTTGTTATTTTCATTTTCTGATGGTTTCCTCTTTAGGGACCTGAACAAGAACTGACCATGAATGATAGATAGTTGATGACTGCTATAATTTGTTTTGACAAAGGGTTGTCTTTATTGTTTAATCAGGCTTAAGTGCAAATCAGAATGAACATGCACCAAAACTCTCAAAACTTCTGAATGGTTCCTCTGAGTTTGTGCTCACCTATGAAGACAAAGAGGGAGACTGGTTGCTTGTTGGGGATGTTCCTTGGGGGTATGTCCTCACACATGAAAAAACAAGTTTGTTGTTTTTGGTTCACTTATATACCTTTTAATGTGTGTTTTCATTGACTAGGATGTTCTTCAACTCCGTTAAGAAACTTCGAATCATGAGGACGTCTGAGGCAAAGGGACTCGGTACGTTTTCTTGTTATCTAATCTTATAGTTGATCTTGATGTTGTCTTTTTAGTTTCGGGTTACTCCGTGTCGAAGTCTGACTAATAAAACCATCCACAGCTCCAAGGTGTCAAGGAAGGAGTGAGAGAAATGGAATCAAGCCCATTTAGAACCATTGTTTTAACCCTGTCCATGTGAAGATAATGTGAAAGTTGGTCAACATGAGTAGAGATAGAAAAAGAGAGAGTGATTTTGCTGATCTAATTCTTTTGCTTGTTTTTTGTTTGCTTCTGATTTATGGTTCTTGATTTTTTGAATGGTTTTCTAAACCATTAACCCCCCACCCCGCCCCAAATGAAAGAAAGAAAGAAAGAGATCGTCTTATACAGTGTTACCATACAGGCTTATGAACTTGGCTACGATTACGTTTTTGGCTTAAATCAACTAAAGTTGTTTCCTTGGCAAAGGGAAAGCTGGTACTGGTTGCGAACTCCAACTCGCTGCATTGGTCGACTATCTTTTTAATGGTGCTTTCTTCTGTATGTGGATTTAGTCTAATGTGATTTGGTCGTGTTTATAAGGTGAAGATGGTTTCATCTTTTGCTTGGTGTTTGTCCTTTGAACAGAAGCTTCATTTAGAGTAATGCTTAATATGTAATCTTGTACCTTTAAAGACAATTACCCATGGGTTCCATTACATTTCAACTATTCAACTGAGATCGAATGATTTAAATATTGTGTTACACAAGTAGAATCGAAAAGTCAACAAGAGTATAGTTTAAGGTTAAGGTATCGATCTTTCGGGGCCTTTATGGCCTATCAACATAGATTAAGACTTGAAAGCAGTTGGAAGGATGCCCGTTCAGCCCCTACTACATTGGGCGCTCTTGAACTACAAGAGCGGTCTTTGTGCTTGAACTACATGCGGCCTTACATATACACACGTAGATCAGACATGTCTTTAGTTTGAACCTCTATTCATGAAAGGAAAATAAATACTGTCCCGACTACGGATAACTAAGAGAGAAAAATGTAAAAATAAATCATTTTTTAGGTCACATGTCTTTAGTTTGAACTTCTATTGATGATAGAAAAATAAGTAATTCGTCCTAATTACATTAAATATTTGATAATTGATAGAGAGAAAAATGTAAAAATAAATAATAAATATTAAAAAAAATAATGAGGTGTSAAGGTCAACATTCTTTAAAACGATTCAGAAACGATTGAGAAATTGGGGATAATGTTTGAGTTATCCACCATAATATATTGCAGATATAAAGAATTCGAGGTCATATGGGCTTTAGTTGCCCATAATCAATATGGTTTTTAAATTAATGAAATATTATCATACCAACGTAGCTAAACTGCTCTAAACTTGTGTTGGCCATTTTTAGATGTTGATAAACTAAAAAAAATTAATATTATTGTAACAATTATTTAGTACTCTACTAATTAATTTGGTATAATTAGGCCAGTCTTTTTTTTTTTAACAACTTAAATATTGTAATTATATTACTCATCATCTATAATTTTTATACGAATTTACAACTTATACATATTGTCTTACCGTGGTTGAAAACTATAACGAAGGTTCATATCATCATTGACGTAACTTTTTCTGACTACATTGATCAAATTTACAACTTAAATACGAAAAATATGATACATGGTCACTTGGTTATATGACCATTTATTATTGTACTAAAAAAAGAAAATCCCCAATCCCCACTCTCATATAAATATATTTGGACATCAACAAACGTCTTTGTTCGATTGTGGCGGGAAGTGTCGGAAAGGCAGGGTTTTCACTTTCAGTTCCGGCGACGAGGAGTTGGAAACTTCCCCATTAGAAAGGAGAACACCCCAACTTCCGTAAGAACAAGATTCAACATTTTCATCCACCGCTATGTACTGGGTGGCGACGCGAAACGTTGTCTTTTTTCCCCGTTTTCGTTATCTGGCTATGCTCATTGCCTTCCCTCCGTGCAACTACAGCTCCTCTACTCACTTGCCCGCGTTTTTGTAATGCCTTTGTCTCTTCTATGGTTGCGTTTCTTGCATTACGGACTCTCGCTCTTCATCTATCCTGCCATATTTCTTATCCGGGTCTCCGTTTCTTCATTTGGTTTATCTTGGGTTGCTGTGCAGTTTGTATTTTGTTTTGTCACCTGAGAAACTTGCAACTTTTATTACTCCTTCTCATGCGCTATGTCCGAGAAATGTGATAAGGTGGTTTTGCATATTTGACATGATTTGTTTTTTGAAATACTCATTGTCCCAATTACGAGAATTGGGATTTGGTGGTTTTTGTTCTTCTTCTAGAAAAAGACGAGTGTCTGGACTTCTAAAATTTTGTATGAGTAGCTGTAGTGTAATCACCGTTTGTATCTTTTTAATAAGAATGATTTCGTTGGGAAGAGTTCCCTGTGTGCATTTTGTATCCTGATTTTAGAGGACGTTTGAACTTTTTGAACTGGGAATGAAGGGGTTCAAATACTTTTGTGTCTGTAAACATCTTCGTTATCATATCATTTTGATACGGGGGACTTCTTTGGTTGGTATAAGTAACTTGGGAATGCCACCGAACGAAGTTACTGCGTTTTCTACCTTGGTTAACATTAACCTAATGCGTAGAATTTTTTTCACCCGACGAAACAGTGAAAGGCAACGGCTTGAGAAATTGCACTTTGCAAAAGGTAGAAAATATTCGAGAGGAAGCACCAAAGCTGCTAAGAAGTTTAAGGATGACAATAATGTCCAGGATGATAAGTTCCTTTCGCATATTTTTTGGTGGAAAGAGGTGAACTGGCCTATGTTAAGAATTTTATTTTGCCATTATTTTGATACGTTAATTATTGTTGAGATGCTGTGTATCATGGTATTTTTATCCTTGCACTCGCAGACAGTGGAGTCATGCAAGAAGCCATCATCTGTCCAGTTGGTTAAGAGGCTTGTCTTTTCCAATTTGCTAGGTGTAGATGTTAACCTGAAAAATGGGAGGTGAGCTTATGAGATAGGCTTTCTTAATTGTGGCATGTGCGTATTGATATCATTTTTCTGTTTGTGGGCTTAGAGGCCTCCCTTTGCTCATATGGACTTATGAGATGTTATGTATTAAGATTAACTAACAGCGATGCTGACTGTTTTGCAGTCTTAAAGAAGGAACTCTCAACTGGGAGATGTTACAGTTCAAGGCAAAGTTTCCTCGAGAAGTTTTGCTTTGTAGAGTATGATATTTCTATTCTTGCTTCCTGATCTTTATCTAGCCAATCGCCTATTTTGATGTTTGTTCTAACTAAAATTCTCTTATTGAGCTTGTGGTTATCTGTAGTTAATGATAATGCAATTTATTTCTCTCTTTCTCTACAGGTTGGAGATTTTTACGAAGCAATTGGAATAGATGCTTGCATACTTGTTGAATATRCTGGTCTAAATCCTTTTGGAGGTCAGCGTATGGACAGCATTCCAAAAGCTGGTTGCCCTGTTGTGGTATTGGGTTTCTTCCCATTTGATCTTATGTATTCAATTAACTGCAAAAATTATTATTCCTTTTCTACCGTCCCTATGTGTTTTCAATGTTGGAATGTTTGCAAACCTTTTCAGCGTTGTCAAATAAATGAAAGCGTTATTATATTATAACTGGGATTAACACACAGCACAGCCATATATTTTAAATATTTTTATTCCTTCCCTTGGCTAAATGAAAGCACATCCCATTTTTCTTTGGATGATGACATGATGCGAATGTGGGATCGCTATCCTTTTATTCAGTTTACATACTTGCAATGACAGTACTGTGGTAAGGTCCTCAAGACAACGGGCAGTATTTTTCTTTTTTGGGTTTTTGTCATGTTACATTTTCAAACATCCAGTCCGTGTTTCAATAAACAGGTCGCTTTTGAGCTTGGTAATTTTGTATTTCATTTTAGGTGCATTTCATGCCTCTGAAGGCTCTTGTTTCTTATTCGCTTGTTAATGTTCCTTTTTTTAATTACCCACACCTCAAGGTGAGGTGCCTAATTATAAAATTGTTTTTCTTACCCGTTTTGGTGCCTGTTTTTGTGGACCCAACCCCTTTTTTGCTGTCAATTGTTTTCTTTGTCACGTTCTTTCATTCTTCTCAATGGAAGTTCAATCTTACTAGAGAATATTAATCTGGATGGATTTTTGACTCAATTATGTCATTGGTAGCAAAGTATTTTCATGATTTAATCTGCACTTATTTTTTGGACGTTTATGTTCTAATCAAAGAATCACTTTGCAGAACCTTCGTCAAACTTTGGATGATCTAACACGTAATGGGTTTTCAGTGGTGAGCAATTGTAATGATTTTATGCTTACCTTCTGTCTTCTTTTGAAAATTATACCATGATTGTGATTTTGTCATAGGCTGCTTTTTGTTACCTCATAGCATATGTCATTGAGAATGTTCCATTCACCATAAATTAGAATAGGTATTCATGTTCCATTACCTTCTGAACAGTTTGTTTACTTTGGTTCTCTGTAGTGCATAGTGGAAGAAGTTCAGGGCCCAATGCAGGCTCGTTCTCGCAAAGGACGTTTTATATCTGGGTAAATTCATGTATTAACTTGGAAATTTTCATTAAAATTTTAAGTTTTACATTACTGCTTGTGCTATCCAGTAATTTTGTGAAATGGTACTCAAGCACTTGTTAACAAGGAAGTTTCAATTGTCAATGAAAGAGGAAGAAGAAGAAGATAAGTATAATGCTTACACTGCACATACTGGACTAAGACCCCAATGAGTTTGTCTGTACACAGGCATGCACACCCAGGCAGTCCTTATGTGTTTGGGCTTGTTGGAGTTGATCACGATCTTGACTTCCCAGAACCTATGCCTGTGGTTGGTAGGTGATTTAGTACATTCAAGTATTATTTAGTAAGATATTTTGCATGGACTAATATTCTTTCCTGTAATTAATATGATGAACTTTTTCTTGTGTTGTTTTGTGAAAGTTTTTTCTTGTATGGATCTAGTACATCCTGATGTAATTATTCGTTTTTGAAATTTTAATAATCTGACTCTTATGAGCTCATTGTTACTTTTGTTGCTTACAACACATAGGAATATCTCGATCTGCAAGGGGCTACTGCATAAGCTTTGTCCTAGAGACCATGAAGACATTTTCATCAGAGGATGGTTTGACAGAGGAGGCCTTGGTTACTAAACTGCGCACTTGTCAATATCATCATTTGTTTCTTCACACTTCATTAAGGAATAACTCCTCAGGTTTGTATGGTTTGTTTGAATATGTAGGACTCTCTCTCTCTTTTTTTTTTAATATTTATGCGATTCTCATCTTTGATTTAAGCCATAACTAGAGGTTGTTGTTAATATACTTATTCATCATATTTAGTAACAGATGCTTGGAAGAAGTTTTCTGCTGTATCTGTGCCAAAAATTTGTTTACTGTACTTTGTAGCATAATTTTGATTGAAGTTATACCAAAGGTTCCAGCATACTTCTCTTTGTTTTCTGTACTGTATAGCATAATGTGAATCTTGGTGATAGATGTTTGGAAGAAGTATGCTGGTGTTATGGTGTATCTGTGCCATTTAAAGAAATTTAATCTTCTCTTTAATGTCATGCACAAACTTGTAACTTCATGGGAGGCTTCTTATAGGCACTTTTCGCTGGGGTGAATTTGGTGAGGGTGGCCGGCTATGGGGAGAATGTAATTCCAGACACTTTGAATGGTTCAATGGGAATCCTGTTACTGATCTTTTGTCAAAGGTCTGCATTTGCATTTATTTTATTTCTGTCAATAGCATAGCCTGACTTTTTAGTTGTTACGATGTTAATTTACTTTGTTTTCTGTTCATTCACAGGTCAAAGAGCTTTATGGCCTTGATGATGAAGTTACATTTAGGAATGTAACAATATCATCAGAGAATAGGCCACATCCATTAACACTAGGAACTGCAACACAAATTGGTTAGTTTTATTCCACTTGGATCCAAAAAAGTAAAAACAATTTTAAATGATGCCAAGCTGCATGTTCATACATGGAATTCATATAGGTGCCATACCAACAGAGGGAATACCTTGTTTGTTGAGGGTGTTGCTTCCATCAAATTGTGCTGGCCTTCCTGCATTGTGAGTGGGAACTATTTTAATTGCTGTTGAGATAGTTGTCTACTGACAATTTTGCTTGACTGCTTCTTCTTTGTTCTTTGAACATTTTACATTTTAGATTTGTAACTATTCTTTTTCCCAGTTTTTTGTTTGTTAATTCCCGTGAGCTGGCATGGGTGGATGGGAGGCATTATCAACCATAGCCACAGACATAATTTCAGTCTTTTGAACCATGCTCACACACACATACACGTATATTTTCATGGAAAGCATGCATTCAACTACTGTGTTAGTCTTTGGTTAGTCCAGTTATTTTATCAGGAGGTATCTTCTTTTTTAGTTCTTAAATGCAAACCATGTGTCTTTTCACTAAGCTTATTTGTTTCGGAAACTTGTTTTTAATCTTTCCCTTATTCCAGAAAGTTTTTTCTCGTCGTCAAAACAAATTAATGTTTTTTTTTTTTTAAAGATTGTCTTCAAGAGAGTTGTTTCCATTTATCATCCAGTTATAATTTGCTGGTTTTACTTTTATTTTTAAGTAATTCATAATGGAGATTACTTTTAATTACGAGTCCTTTTAGTCTCAAAATATTAATTTTTATATGTTAGAAGAGTTGGAATAAGTTAAACGCATCATGTAACATTTGGGTTATGATCATTGTGTTCCTAGGTGCACTTGTTGACCAAGTCTGATTCTTCTTGCTTGTTGTAAGAGGTGCTTGACATGTTGAATGTACTGCTGAGTTATAACAATTGTGGTTATTTCCCATACAAAAGAAATTGTAGCTTTACTGGTAGTTTCTTTTGCAGGTATACTAGGGATCTTCTTCTCAATCCTCCTTCGAATGAGATTGCGACTACTATTCAAGGTGATTCTCCTTATAAATCCCCCTTTTCCCTATCTTGTTTGTTTTTAGTCTGCATTTAGTGGGATGACATTTCTTACTCTGGTTTTTAGCATCACGTAGCCGTCCTTTCATTTCTTATTCCAGGTTTCTATCCGTCGATACAGTTATATGGCTTTGTTTCTTATTAAAAAGGAAATGCCATCATATTCTTGATCTTGTTTCTTTGTTCCTAGGAGACTGAGCTCAAATATAACTTCACTGGTAGAAGTCATAATTCTGGTTGATCCTCTCTTAGAACTTGGTCAGCCATTCTATACCGGTGTTGGATTTAGTTTATATTCGTAAATAGACTTTGAAAGAATATGATTTTGTTTTTGAATCATCTTAATGAGATTTTTTTGGGCTCTTTTCTTATCATGAGCTGCCACGAACTATTTGTCAATATTTATTAAGGAATTCATAATTATATTTGTTGTCAGAATAGAAATAACAGTTTGCAGTCTTTTCACTGAGACAAACTGTTGCTTAGTTTATCATGCTATTTTTAGCTAAAATTTCTTCAAAGATGAGCAAATTTGTGTGTGGATGGTTGGATTCTGTTAGAGTATATATTAGTATATTTTATATTTTTGTATTAATATTAATTTGTCCTTTACCTTCTCCTTATAGGATTAGATCAACCTTGTATATTTGTCTATATATATAGACTTTAATAATGAGAATATAGAACATTGGATTCTCTCCAACCTTAGTCTCTACATGGTATCAGAGCTCTAGGTTTCTAGGTTTTGTGCCCATTAGGGTTTTGTGCCCGTTAGGGTTTTGATGCCCATTAGGGTTTTGCACCCACTAGAGTTTTGCACCCATTAGGGTTTTGTGCCTTAGGGTTTTTGTTCATTGCTATCCAACACTCGCCGCCGCCGCCCACCGCCGTCGTCGCCGATCACCGCCGCCGCCGCCGACCACCGCCGCCGTTTGCTGATTTGCCMGTTATTTTTCCAATTGCTATTCGTGGGTTTCGTCTCGCTGTCCTTCGCACCTTCGTCGCGGTGCGCTTCCGTGACCGCCAATCGCCTTTACCCCTCTGGTTGTCGTGGGGGAGCACTTGGGGTTCCTGGTTTCAGAAAATACCTAATCCGGTTTGGTTCCAACCGTTTGATTCATCTGTTTTGTTTGGTTCGGGTGGTTTGGTCTGGTTCTGTTGTTTTGTTCAAATAAGTTCGCTTGTTTGTTATGGCTGAGAAGAAATCAATCGTAACTTATGAGGTGATCCCAATGATATCAAAAATCACAGAACACAAGTTGAATGAAGCACAAATAGATTATTTGTCTAACAAGTTGGGCATGATTAACATATATGCACCAACTTGAGGGGGAGTGTTAGAGTATATATTAGTATATTTTATATTTTTGTATTAATATTAATTTGTCCTTTACCTTCTCCTTATAGGATTAGGTCAACCTTGTATATTTGTCTATATATATAGACTTTAATAATGAGAATATAGAACATTGGATTCTCTCCAACCTTAGTCTCTACAGATTCCATGTATTTTTTCTATGTTTCTGCAAAGTTTTCCATGTCTATCTATTTTAGAATGAACAGTAGAGATGAGAATTTTAATTTATTGAGTGATGTATAGACTTGATAAAAATGCTGTTAAATCTTTTCTTTTTTGCATTTAAGCTGTTTATTTGGTCCATGTTTGACGAATAACAGCCTAAGCTAGGATGCTAACGACTTAAGGTCCTACATTGATGTTTGGGGGTGCAAGATTGGAATATTTAGAATTTGTTAAACTATTCTCCTCCCTTAAGTATACATAGTTATGGGGTGGAATTCTATGCAGATTCAATTTTAATCTACTGCCATTCTAGAGTTAGCCAAATCTGCATGGAACATGCTAACTAACATGAATTTCCAGAATACTCTTTGCAGTTTCATTTGCAATTCTACTCAGTTATTTCTGTTTGAAATCCCTTAAAACGTTGTCTTAATCCTATTTTCTGGCCAGCAACATGCAGGCTTATGAGCAATGTTACATGTGCAATTCCAGACTTCACTTGCTTTCCGCCAGCAAAGGTTTAATCCATTTTTATTGTGGATGTTGGACTGTTTGACTAAAATACGCTTGACATGCTACGGGCAGCATTATTTTTCCTGCTTTTATCAGATATTTGTCGTGGATAATTCAATCTAATTTTTATGTGTGGACTGCCAACAACTTAATAAATGCCTCCTTTTCTTTTTTGCGGGTGTGCAATCAATTATTTGTAAAATTTTCTCCACGTCTTTGGTCCATGCTTCTATTTATATTTTCTTCCTATTAAGAGCTTTTATTATATATCTATTTCTATGTCTTGCTAGTTTATGAATCTGTATAATGAGACGAGTGGTGCATTGACATATGTGAGGAGAAAGTGATAGGCTGATAATAGGACTGAGAATAAACAGGAGGAAAAGTAGTTTTGTTTGCATCAGTTTGTTGATTGAGTCGTTAGATTGGGGCCAATGGCCTTCAAATGGCACGTTAACTATGTAGAAATTGCTGGTGAAGATGTGAAACTGATTGGGTTATGGAGAAGGATTGGGGTATTGAGAATTTATCTTTGAATTGGGAGAGAATGCAGGACTTATAAATTTCCTTCAGATTTTGTAAATTCTCTGGTTTCATGTTGAATACACTACCAAAATCATCACCCAGTTTTGTTCTTTCTGATTGAGGCATAGACCATCGCATAAATTTGTTTGACTCGTATCTATATGTTTTGCAGCTTGTGAAGTTATTGGAAATGAGGGAGGCCAATCATATTGAATTCTGTAGAATGAAGAATGTACTTGATGAAATATTACACATGCATAGAAATTGCGAGCTAAACAATATCCTGAAATTATTGATGGATCCTACATCTGTGGCAACTGGGTTGAAAACTAACTTTGATACGTTTGTAAGCAGCAATTAATTTTGTTCTATTTATTCTCCCACCATTCTTGACAACTATTTTCCTTTGCTGGTATAAATTTCTTAACTGTAATTTTAACAAAAGAATTTGCTTAGCCACGCTGGAAAAGATGGCCCCCTGGTTAATCAATAGCGATTATGAAAATATGTTATTTATTTATTTACATTTGTATGCTTAGAAAGAATTTTGTGTTGCCTTATAGCATGGTTCCACTTTTAATTCACTGTCATTAGTGCTAAATAGAAAAATGATGTGTAAAATTCTCGAGCATTTCACACGACTTCCTTTGTTCGTCTTTTGTAATTTTTTGTTTGTCAACTAAGTTTAATTTTCTAACCTATGATCAGTAGCTAAAAAATCATGATAGCTATCCTAGCTGCTTACTTGAACGTCAAATATTCATGGAATTTATTTATTTATCTTTTCTCCAACCTGTAAGTGTCCTACATTAAACTCCAGGTTCTGCTTAGTCAGTAGGTTACTTCCCTTTTAGCGGGAATTGGAATTGGTACTGTTAATAAAAGAGTCATTCTTTAATCATTACAATTGGTTTCATTGTTTTTATTTAGGTCAACGAATGTGAATGGGCTTCCAGTAGAGTGGGCGAAATGATTTTTCTGGAGAGTGAAAGTGAAAGCGATCAGAAAATCAGTTCTTATTCTATCATTCCCAATGATTTTTTTGAGGATATGGAATCTTCTTGGAAAGGGCGTGTGAAGAAGATTCACATTGAAGAAGTATATAAAGAAGTGGAAAGGGCAGCTGAAGCACTATCCCTTGCAGTATGTTTCCAAGACTCAATTTGCCCATCGCCATTTGTGATTAGATAATTTTACATGTATAGTAGCTTCTAGATTTCACAGCATATTTGCCTCCTTTAATAATTATGCAAGGTGATGCCGATTCATGGATAATTTTTTTCAATTTTGGGTTGTATATCTTTATACATTTTTTTTTATATAATTAGAGAATTTTTATAAAGGAATATTAAATTATTTGGGGCCTTTGGCATCCGTAGATTTACAGCTATTATTGGCAATGTGCTTGTATTTGCCCGTCGCCATCCTGCCTTCAGTACCTCATTGTAGATTTTATAGAAAAATCACTTGAGCTTTGACTAAATTCTTGCATGATGCATGATGCCTAAATGTTCTTGTTATTATCTTTTTTTTCTCTCAGAGCTTTAGTTCTACTAACTTGTGTTCATTGCATGTCTTTCCTACACTTGTCTTTAGGCTTTGTATCATACATGCACGGTGTGACTATCTAGTTAATTTTACCATGGTCATTTAATTTTATTACAGGTCACTGAAGATTTTGCGCCAATCATTGCAAGAATCAAGGCTACTACAGCACCGCTGGGAGGTCCAAAGGGAGAAATATTGTATGCTCGGGAGCAGCAATCTGTCTGGTTCAAAGGAAGACGGTTTGCACCAGCTGTATGGGCTGGAAGTCCTGGAGAAGAAGAAATTAAACAATTGAAACCTGCTTTTGATTCAAAGGGAAAAAAGGTTGGGGAGGAGTGGTTTACCACAAATAAGGTGGAGGATGCTTTAACAAGGTATGCAGTTTGTTTATAATAATACCCTTCTTGAAAATTCTCTCTTATCTGATCATATTTTCATTTTTTGGTGATTAAATAGTGAACAAATTTATTTTCCTCTTCAGGTATCAAGAGGCCAATGCCAAAGCAAAAGCAAGAGTAGTGGAATTGCTGAGACAACTTTCTTCTGAATTGCTAGCTAAAATTAACATCCTTATCTTTGCTTCCATGTTACTCATTATTTCCAAGGCATTATTTGCTCACGTGAGGTTGAGTCTAATTGCTTCCAGCATCCTTTATTTTTATTGTTTATAGAAATGAGGATCCTTATGTGCTGTTTCATAGACGCAATGCATACAATATGAGCCTACAAAGTTAAAAAAAAGAATGGAAAGAAGAACAAGAAATCTTTCTAAGAAGCTGAGTAGGCTGTATTCTAAATAAACTCTATGATACAAATTGTCTCGGTAAGCGATCAAACGAAGATAAGGCAATGTTGAACTTGTAATTAAGTTTACCAAGGTTTTAGAAGAGTTCAACCATATGTGTACACGCAATGTGACACAGTCTTCTCAGAAGCTTTGAGCTAGTTAGTTTACCAGAAATTTTCGAAGGTGTTGATTGTCATTCTAAAATCCACGAAGATTTTATTTGATGTTTGGACTGACAGCTGTTTTGGGAATCATAATCATTAATATAGTTCTTATGAAAATATATTAAATGGTTTAATTTACTTTAATCTCACAGTATTATGTTTTTGGGTCTAATGGGTGATTTAATGAAACTTTTGGATCTTGTATTAATTTTAACAGAATTATATTGAGTTCAAACTTTTGCCATTTTATTTAAAATCTATTTCATGTTAATAGTCTGCTTAGGAAGCTTGTCTCTTTTAGATTTCTCTCTCACTCCTTTGGAAATTTGTGTCATTCAACAATTCTGTTCCTTTTCATACATTCAATGAAAAGTTTGTATCTTGTTCATAGTTAATTGTCTGCATTAGGGGATAAACTTGGGTAAGTGTGGAAAATATATTGAAAAGGTCAAATATATCTCAACCTACCAACTTGAACTTTTTTAGTCTATTTAATAGTTTTCTTCTGTCTTTAAATGAGATTTCTATGTTTATTGTTTACCACTCGATGAGATATCTATAATGTTTGGTTTTCTTTGGTTCGGTTAATAAACTTTTTCTTGATGGTGACGTATCTCCTTATAATTTCTTCTGGTTATTAGTTAGTCTGAACTAACATGGAGAGTTAAGTCTATATTTACTTTTTGTAGCGTAATGAGCAACCACCATCATGCTATAGATACTCATTCTCTAAAATTTCAATCTTAATATGCTTCTGGAACTTCCCATTTCTTTTCTGATAGACGTGTATATTCAACGAGTCCTGATTCCTGATATGTCTTTTTCTTAATATCTTGTAGTGAAGGGAGGAGGAGGAAATGGGTTTTTCCTACACTTACGGCACCCAATGATAGGTCCAAGGTACTCATTAGTATACCAATATTCCGGCTTCTCATATATCCTTGCTGTCATTTTCTCTATGCTATGTGGTTTAGTGAATCATTATTAGTAGTTGATATGGTTTACAGGTTTAGGGTCTGAAGTCTTATCTAGGTTGTGTTCATGCCCTATTAAGTGGCTAGTTATTTGGAGAAATCCTTCAGGGACTTGTAGGAAAGAACATAAAGTAACAGTGGCTGCCATTTGGCTAACTGGAACAAAGTCAAGCTCCCCGTGGACAGGAGTATAGCCTATAAGCAATCTGAAGCAAAGGACTTGTTCTTGCTAAAAGGACTTGGAAATATCACTATGATAAAGTTCTTTGGAGAATAGTGATCTAAACGAAATATGGGTCCACTTGTCATGATATTTGGCTACAACAACTCAAAGTACTATAAGAACAATGATTTTCGTGTTGCCCAAATTCCTCATTTATTGTTTTTGCAAGTGAGGTATTCTAAGTAATGAAGTATTCCTTCTCTTGAAGTGCCTCCACTAACATTTGGCCTGCTAGAATTCGTTCCTTTTTTTCTTTTTTAATATTCCCAGTCTGAGAGCATGTTTGATTCCATTAATGATGAGATTATATTCCAGTTAACGCGGTGGAATCCCTTTTTCTTAATAACTTGCGTATTCACTTGTAAGTCATAAATAAGAGTTCTTTACCTCTTGAATGCTATGATCAACTCAACTATTCTTGAATTTGGATTACCTTATTAATAGCGGCCACATAAATAAAGGATCCATTTGTTTTTCATGTTTTTAGTTTGATCGCATGGAATGCTTTTAGTTTTCTGGGCCAGCATAAAAATTTCTTTGTTGAAATATGCATCATTCTTTTATCCTACTACCGGCAGAAATGCCCCCAAGGGACAGTCCAGTTAGCACAAGCTTGAGGTCTCTTGGTCATTTGGCTTAGAGGTCTGAAATTCGAATCTTCTGGTGAGCTTAATACCAAAAACCCTTGATATCTCCTAGGTTTGGCTCTTGGGGCGGGTGCGGGTGCCTCTGGGTATAGGGGAGCAAAGCTCCGACTCCCGGTTCGAAAAAAACTATCTGCATAAATATTTGTCTTTATACTTTGTTTGAGTAGTTTTCCATTTTTGAATGCAGGGAATGAAATCATCGGAGGAGAAAGTTGGGATGAAGCTAGTTGGACTATCACCCTATTGGTTCGATGTCGTAGAAGGCAATGCCGTGCAGAATACTATTGAGATGGAATCATTATTTCTTTTGACCGGTCCAAATGGGGGTGGAAAGTCTAGTTTGCTTCGATCCATTTGTGCTGCTGCTTTGCTTGGGATATGTGGATTTATGGTGCCAGCAGAGTCGGCCCTGATTCCATACTTCGATTCAATTATGCTACATATGAAATCTTATGATAGTCCTGCCGATGGAAAAAGTTCTTTTCAGGTGACTCAGCCATTTGAATGTTGTACGTATGAAGAAACAACGTTTCATTGAAGAGGGTATTTTTACAACAATTGAATTGAAAGACGGGGAAATTAAATCATAAGCAACCTATGCACAGAAATATATACCAAGGACCTATATGACTCACTTTAGCTTTCTTATTATCCATGAAGCTAATAACTTGATGTTGTGTTTCCCAACCGTACGGTCATCTTGGTCTCATGTTTTCTGACATTAGGACATTTAGAGACTAAACAGGTTCAAAATTTCATTTCTTGCATCACTGCCTTTGAAATTTTCGGTGACTTGCTGGCATGAGTAATAAGAAACGGGTATGGAGAATTTCTACTGTTTGTGATTTTAGAATCTCCTTTGTGACAGAGTATAGTAATTACTAATTAAGTACAAGAAAATACAATAGTCTTTTATCTGCTTTATTTATGGTTGGCATAATTCTTTTAGACCAAAGTTACCTAAGATCTTTCTGTTTGTATTTTTTATCGAGATAAAGACTGGAAAAAATTTACATTGATTTAAGAAATGTTGTTTTTGAGTTTGTTCAGTGTGTGCTTTAAATAGAAGTGATAAATTTATGGATCTCAATTGCTTGGGATTGACATGATCCTTTTGATTTGAGTTTTGTCAGTCCTGGCTTGTTCTTTATCATGTCAAGCATCAAAAGTTTGGCAAGACTTGCATCTGAGGCTATTTATAATACTGTTCAGTAAAGGCATCTTGTTATGCATCTCAGGTCGAAATGTCGGAGATGAGATCCATTGTCAGTAGAGTATCGGAAAGAAGTCTTGTACTTATAGATGAAATTTGTCGTGGAACAGAAACCGCAAAAGGCACTTGTATTGCTGGGAGCATTATTGAAGCTCTTGATGAAGTAGGTTGTCTTGGTATTGTCTCCACTCACTTGCATGGAATATTTGATTTGCCTTTAGATACCAAGAACACTGTGTACAAAGCAATGGGAACCGTTTATGCGGATGGACGAACAATCCCCACGTGGAAGTTGATCGATGGAATATGTAGAGAGAGCCTTGCGTTTGAAACAGCAAAGAAGGAAGGAATCCCTGAAGATATAATTCAGAGAGCTGAAGACTTGTATCTCTCAAATTATGCTAAAGAAGGGATTTCAGGAAAAGAGAAGACGGATTTGAACTTTTTTGTTTCTTCTCACGCAAGTCTTAATGGCAATGGAAAATCCCCTCCCCAGTCAAGAGGTGGCCAGCAAAAAACAGAGACAAATGATAAAACAGGGGTCTTGTGGAAGAAAATTGAGGCTGCTATTACTGCAATATGCCAAAAGAAGCTGATAGAGTACCATAAGGATAAAAACACATCAAAAGTTGCTGAAATTCAGTGTGTCCTGATTGATATCAGAGAGAAGCCACCTCCATCGACGATTGGTGCTTCGAGCGTTTATGTAATTCTTAGACCGGACTGTAAACTCTATGTTGGACAGGTATGCCTGTTATTTTGTTAATGTTCTTTCAAGCTTGTCATTTGTGTAGGAAACTTTGGTGCATGTGCCCTGGATTCATTTCTGGAATTTATATGCCATCTCCCTCTCCTGTCTCAGACTGATGATCTGGAGGGTCGAGTCCATTCACATCGTTTGAAAGAAGGAATGCGGGATGCCTCATTCCTTTACTTCATGGTCCCGGGGAAGAGCTTGGCTTGCCAACTCGAAACGCTTCTCATCAATCGGCTTCCTGATCATGGCTTTCAACTAACAAATGTTGCTGATGGAAAGCATCGAAATTTCGGGACATCCAATCTCTTATCAAATAATGTGACTGTCTGTTCATGATTCAACAATCTTTGTTTTAGTATGTCATATAAATTGGTCAGGCAATCTGATGAAAGCGAAAAGTCAGCGATGCTCCTGATGATTGTATATTATAGATTCAAGAAATGACAAGTTGTACTAGAATGAACTCAGGCTGCAGTTTCCTTTTTGTTAATCCTCTGCAGTTGTAACTTTATAATTTACTCCAGCAGATGAGATTAAAATTTTGATGCAGGAAATTGTATATTGTTGTATTGTACAACTTACATTATTTTCATTCTGCTCAGCTTCTATTCCTTTGCTTCACTTTATTTATTTGCTGGACAAGGTTGGTCAGATGAGAATGCTTTTTTTTTGTTTGTTTTTGCTTTCAAAATAATTGATGACTAGTGTGCTTTCAATGCAATTAGTGATATTTATTTGTAAAAAGTTAAATTACTCAACATAATTATCAATTGAATATACTCTAAAAAGGTCAATACAATTATACAACTAATGAACTTGCCATATTAATAATAATAAAAAACATTTCATTCTATTTTTCTTATCTTTTTATTCATTTATTTAATCCGGATGAAAAATGCTCATCCTAAAATAKAAATGACCTTGTTAAGTAATGTCTTTGGTTTAATGTCGTAATTTCTTCGATTTGATTTTGTTTCTCGCTTTATAAGATCATCGATGTTTGGAACTAATGTTTTTAGTTAAGCAACTATCACAATGAGAGATTGAACCATCGACTTTTTTGGATGGTAATAAATACCTTATCCAACTATGTTCGGATTGGTTATGAACTTTAAAACATTTTCTTATTGAATATAATTTTACACAATGATGAAAAAAGGGAGGAAATTTTTCTTCTTCATTTTTTTCCTTTCCTCTCTTGTACTCATCTAAACTAGTCAAATCTAATCTTCAAAGTTTAGTTTCGATCAGATTGAATCGTGAACTTGGATAAGTGGTGAAATAGACAACTTCTTCCAGCTGAATCGTTGCAAAATTTGAAGATTTCAAGTGGGCATTTTTGTGACCATATGAAACTGAACTTTATGGTTGTTGGGTCTTGTTTTTCCTTTTTGTCGAATTATATTAAGTTGGGGTTTGGACAATTTTCTAAGTTGGGTGTTGAGAAGAGAATTAATTTCACCACTTATTGAAATTAAAGTTCAACCAAATGAAACTACAAGATTAAACCGACTCATCCAAACAAGTTACAACATGGACAAAAAGGAAAGGAGAGTGGAGTAACTCATTTTCAGTTGGATAAATATGTGGGTCCAAAAGTATATACAAACAAATGATGATGCACTGCCTGCAAAGAAAGAAAAAGAGGGTGACACCAAATTCAAGCCAAGCCAGGGCAAGGCAAGGCAAGCCTAGAGATGAATCAACAAATTCAAGTGGGTGAGCTTGCAATTGATCTCAATGGGGGAAAGTGAGCCAAAAAGAAAAGACAATGAGTTTGTTCAAAGGGAGAGAGATGTATTTAAAAATGGAATGGTAATGGGAGGTTGTGGAGAAATGGGAAATGGGAAATGGAAGATGGTGAAGGGTTGATGATCAAGCCAAGAGCCAGAAGTTTCTGTGGGTTTTGGTGTTCAAAAGATAGCCTGCATTTTGACCCTTCCTTTGTACAGCAACACAAGTGCACTTGCTGTTTTCGATCAAATACTCTGCCGTGTCCAACATTTTTGCCCCTTTCATTGCCCCTCCTGCTCGTCTATATCTGCGCACGATAAACAACACAAACAAAAAACTTGAAATATTCTCAACAACAGAACATCACAGATCTCAAAATGGTTTAAATGTTGTCGATCTGAGCAGCACCCAGCATGTTAACACACATATTAAGGATATTGCAACATATAAACTTCGAAATGTGTTCCATCATTCTTGTCATTGTGATTCTTTTGGTATCAATATATGGATGAGGATTAAAAACCATATGAAAATGTAAATAATTGTGTGTTAGCACAAAAGATGATGATTATGGGATTTGATTGATTGAAGAAGGGGAAGAAGACAAACCCTAAGATTGCTGTGGAGAGACTTCGCCTCTGCCCTATGACTAGCAGATCAATACCCAGAGCCTTGGTTTGAGCCATAATCATGGTGGCTTTGTCTCTGCCTTCCAATTCCACCCTCACCGTCCGGACGTCCAGCTTCGGATGAGCAATCTTGCAGGCCTTCTTCATCTCCTCCAGAAAATCCACCTCTCCTCCTCCTCCTCCTCCGGTCCCGCCGCCGCCTCCTCCTCCTCCTGCTCCTCCCGCTCCTCCT